CGTGGCGGGCCCAGAAATGTATCACCCAGTGGGTTTAGCACCGTGTGTCACCTTCATTGATCTTTCGGCTTCGCTCAATCGCAACAAGAGGAGCTGGAGCGGGTTCAAGGGTCAGTGGTTTTAATGGCTGAGTCGGTTGAGGAAAGGCTGTTTAACAGAGTTCCAGTCTCGGTGCTTTACGAGGCAGTGGGTGGTGGGAGAAGCAGAGCCTTCTCCAGCCGCTGGCTTCTGAGTTTGCAGAGTAAACACGAAACCTGACCAGGTCCTTGGGCGAGTTTACCCAGTGGCCTCTTTTCTCTCTGGTATCTTGTTTGTTTTCAAGTTCTTTCTATCTCGCCTTTCGTCGCAATAAAGCCAAATACTCCAATCGAGCAGCTAGCAAAGCCGTAAAATATGAAGGAAAACAATTTACAGCACATGGTGTCAATATGATGACATAGGAAAACACAGTGACATCAGGAAAGAGGAACTGCCTTGGCTGGCAATCAGTCCAAGGCCCCTCTGGTCCAAGATACATTCTTCCCTTCATGGAGGGAGGCTGCATGTGGACCCACAGACACATTCAATACCTCTGGAATTGGATTATGTGAACCGGCCTCACTGTATAATCAAGGATTCTACCCTTGTGATAATGACCAATGCTATCTACATTGCTTTCGTTCCATCTTTAATGGATCCCGATGTAATTACTTCCTATTTTGCCTCTGTTTCTTCTTCTTCTTTCTGCATTGTTGTGGCTGCAAAGTCTGTTGGCCATATATTGAGGCCAAGAAAGCAAGCCTTTGCAGGAGGAAATGGACATATACACACCTGCCTTGTTCACCAGGTCATCTAGTGCCCAACCATAGCTCAGTGGCAGAGCACTTGCTTGGTGTGCAGAAGGTTCCAGGTTCAATCCCTGGCATGTCCTATTAACAAAACCCAGCAGGGAACAAATAATGTGGAAGGTCTTTTTCTGCCTGAGACTCTGCCCGGAAAATGCTGCTACCAGTGAGAGCAGACAATCCTGGCCTAGAGGGACAAAAGCCTTACTTGGTACTGGGCCCCTTCCAATACTTGTTGTCTAATTCTGGGCGGCAGAAGATCTCCGCCTGGAGGAAAGTCTTCCCCTCAGCCCAGCTGCCTGAAAGCCCTTTTAGGTGGAGATGCCCCAGGACCAAGGCTGGGCTCTCGTGCATCCAGAAACTGTGCTCTATCGCTTAGCTCAGGGGTCAGCAACCTTTTTCAGCCGTGGGCCGGTCCACCATCCCTCAGAACATGTGGTGGGCCAGACTATATTTTTTTGGGGAAATGAACGAATTCCTATGCCCCACAAATAACCCAGAGATGCATTTTAAATAAAAGGACACATTCTACTCATATAAAAACACGCTGATTCCCGGACTGTCCGTGGGCTGGATTGAGAAGGCGATTGGGCCGCATCCGGCCCACGGGCCTTAGGTTGCCTACCCCTGGCTTAGCTTGAAATTGAAGGGCATACAATGCAGACTGTTAAGGGGCAGACAGGCCGGATGAATATTAGGGCAGGCAGCAGCCGGGTGTTATTTATAAAAAGAAAGGTGCTTTAAGCCTGCCTTGAACCACACCCTTCCCTAATGCTGGCTGAATAAGAGCTTGCCTCCTGTTCCTCAGTGTTAGAAGAAATAGGGCTCTACGTGCATAGGTGTGAGGTTGCCAGCTTTTCCCCCGGCAGGGCCCTTGCGTGCTAGGAAGAGCTTCACCGGTTAGATTCTGGCCTGCCCTATCTCTGTGCCCAGGCTGGCTTTGGAAAATGGCCACCTTGTATAGCCTCTGGTACCTTTAAGGGTTAGTTCCCAGGGTGGGGTGCCTTTTTCATCAGGCATCATTCCTCCCTAGATCCCCCCCCCTTTCTGTCTGCCATCCAGGCAGACCAGAGACATGATTGGAGTTCAGGACATACCCCAGTTAGGCAAAGGGGGTGAGTGGGTTGCAAGGCAAGGATGGGGCTGTGGCTGGGGCTGTGGCTGGGGGAGAGGCTCACAGGCCACATAGAGAGAAGCCCCCAGGCCTGAGGTCCTGCAGCCCTGTGTCAACAGAAGGGGGAATTATGCCAGGTATGACCTCTCCAATCAAACGCAATGGGGAAAGTTACATGGTGGGATTCTTGCCAACATGTTAAAAAGGAGGGTAGGCTGTTTTTTTCTCTATTACTGAAGGGATGAACAGACCAAGCATGAATAGAGGAGCACTGCAGAGCAATTGCAGTCAAGGCACCTCGCAGTGCCAAGCCGTGCACATCTACTCACAAGTAAACCCCATTGAGTTCAGTAGGGCTTATACCCAAAGAAGCAGGCTGGGGGCTTTGCTTTCAGCCCCCTTCAACTCCTTGATGTGGGGCAGAATGAAATAGCTATTTTGAAATCAGATGTCCGTTCTGCCCATGTTGGTATTGTAACAATGGCATTTTAGGCTTCCGGTGTGAAGCTGGGCATAAACCCACTGCCAGAATGAAGCAACATTCAGAGGTTCTTCTGAAGAATGGCATGAAACCAGAGCTGCCAACTAACGAGGAAATGCCTACTTGGCCCAATCCTAATCTTTCAACATCCGCTTGATACACAGCAATTGGCAGGTGAAGCTTTTTGCAGCATAGGGATAAGTGTCAGCCCTTGATCCTTGCTGCAGATCTAGCTCTGTTAGAAACACAGTCGTAGGGGGAATAGGGCCCAGTAAAAGAAAAAAGAAAAGAGTTGGCTACCAACCCTACATGTCTCCGTAAAGAGTCGGCTTCTGTGAAAAGCCAGCGAAGGATCCATGGTTTTATAGCCACGCTCCTAACAGATTGACCTACTTGGTTGCACTGGCAAACTGGTAGATGGTTTCGGTTCTGGGAGGCGGGGGGAACCCTTTGAAATCCAGACTTGATTCCCCAGCTCCTGGCAAAGGGAAAATATGCAGTTTGCTCTCTAAGACAACACAGGATGGCTTTTCCATGAAAACACCTTGACTCACCCCCTCCTTTACCCCTCCCTCCTGCAACAGCATCACTATTTCCGAATACCGACGGCTTCTTTTTTCCTTACCTCACGGCAAAGGCGCCGGGATGACTCTGTCGCAGGGCAGGAATTCCCTAACCCAACCAACCCCTCCTTCCCCATCCTGCCTGCCAACCAGCTGTATGCTCAGAACTCTTGCCAGGAGCCTTCCAGGGGCACCTCTGGGCCATTCCTTGTTCCCCTCCAAATTCCCTCTGCAGCCAAGCCAAGGCATTTCCACACACACGACGCTGAAAAGTTGCAGCACCGTCTTCTCTCTTCCCCTGCCCCACACCACCCATGCCCACCCTGCAGGCATGAAACCTGCATTGGCCAAACTGCACATTTCGTTTTTGTTTTTATTTTATTTTGTCTGCCCTGCAGAAACTGCATCTGCACATGTGGGCAGGGGGCAGATCTACTATGAAACTAATCCCAGAAGCAAATTTGGCCCACATTGCTAAAAATTTTGGGGTCTAGTAGAACCAATTTGAGACACACAACTCAAATGGTTTAATTTTTTGTTGTTTATATTTCACCAGTCCCAAAATTTGAGATGTTGTAAAGGTAGAGTGTTGCAGTACAGCAATTTGAAGCAAAATCTGAGGTGTAGTGTTGTTGTTTTGTGTGTGTGTGTGTGTGTGTGTGTGTGTGTTTTGGTGATCTGTTATGGAACAACCCCATTGGAGAAGATAACAGTGGTTACCCAGACCTTGTTGCTGTTTGAGAAGAGGGCCCCATAACAGTTTTAGGGCCCCTAAAATGTAGGTCCACCATTGCATGTGGATAATTAGCAATGGGGGTGGTCAGAAGTCAGGCCGGCCCTACCATGAGGCAGGCTGGGGTAGCAACAAATCCTTCAATTTAACATAGCCTTCCCCAGGGGTGAACTACAGTTGCCAGGATTCTTGGGGAGAAGCTTTAAATACATGGTGTGAATGTGAGCACTTGGAACATCTAAAACACACAGGTGGGGAACCTGTTGCCGAGCTCCCATTTGCAATATCTCAATGACACTTTTGCAGTACTAAGCCCCTTAGAATCACCTTTATTGCCCACACAGAGGCACCTCTGTGAAATGGGACTAATTTATTACTACTACATCACAGGGCTTGTTCTGAGGATGAATGAACACAATTGAGAACAGGAAGGTTTTTGGACGGAGGGATGTCTGTGCTCTTAGCCACAGGGTTCAGACCACCCAAAGCCCTGGAGACAAAGCAGTTTAAAAAAACGGAAAAGAAAGCATTGCAAGAAAATATTATTCAAGTATTAAGCAGCACATATTTCCCGACGCTTCCTCTCTCTCGCCCAGTGAAAAAAAGGGAAGAAGGAGTGGGTGGTTGAATTACAGAAGAAAGAATGTGTACAAAAATACATTTTATCCCACAGCCAGAAAGTCCGTCTGTCCAACATTCAGCTCCACGAATATTTTAAGGAAGTGGGCAAGAGGTCAAGGCTGGATAGCAGGCAGGGTAGGGCATGATTTGAACCCATAACCTTTGGAGTTGAAAGTGGCTTCTGAGGAAAAGAAGAGAGAAGGGCGTACTTGCTAACAGAATCAAGATTTCGGGGACACAGTGTTCCAAATTCTTCCAGCAAACTCACCCAATAATATCCAGACACACACCTGTTCCCCGAACCACCAGACTTCTCCTTCGCTGATAGATCCCAGACACATTGGCTCTTAATCTCCCACTTTAAGATAATAGGACACCTGGTCTACACATGCAACAGGATGAGGTAGTAGAGTCCTGAGGTGGGAGATTGGACTGTACCACCTCGGGCTGCAGCTGGGGAGAATGTTTTTTAACCCATCATAAGTAAACACACAAAGCACTTTACTGCTTTCTGTATTATTTCTATTTTTATTGCGTAAGTTTCGAAAATGCAGCTATATGATGATGATGACGATGACGATGATGATGAAAGGCTGTTCCTGACTGAGCTTCTTTCCACTTGCAAGTGTTGTATCTTCCTCTCTTCCCCAGGTTTAAAGGCCAGGCCTTCATCCTCCTCCTAACCACGATCTTTGTTGCTTTCTCCCTTTCTCTGCAGCATGCTTGTGTCAGGTCTTAGTGGTGGTGCTGAGTCTGTGTGAGGCCCTGTGGGCAGCTCCGGGCCCCCGTCCAAAGCCTACAGACTTCCGAGCCGAATTCGATTCCATTGTCCATATGGCGAGGAACCTGCTGAGTGACACCAAGAACCTCTTCAACCACTTTGTAAGTCAAGCGGCCATCTTGAAGCTGCCTTAGGACAAATCAGACTATTGGTCCACTTAACTCCAGCGCTGTCTGCTCTGCCCAGGAAAGCCTCGCCAAAAATCTGCCAGAGATTGACCTTCCACACAAAAGGCAGATGTTCTGCTGCTGAGCTATGGCCTGCCAAAGATGTGAGCTTTGGGTGGCTTCTAAATGAAGTGGCAGGACATTGACTTTTTTGCCTCCTGGCCCAAATGAGACCGATTCAGAAAATGGCTAATTGGGAACCTTCCTTCTGTTTCCTTTTCCTTTTAAGAAGCACAAATTCCCACTTGGGGAAAAAGAAAATCTTCCTAAGAGATCTGAAGAAAAAATATGATATTTTGTCTTATTGTTTTGAAAATAAAATAAATAGGAGGGCATATCCTCTCCCTGCCCTCAGTTTATTATTTATTGGTTGACGTTCCTGTTCAGTTGCGCTATTTTGGGGTCTGATTCCCGCCGTTCCTCTTCCCTGTACAGAAAAACCGCTACCCAGCAGAAGGAGAACACAAGCTAGAAACGCTGCCTGTGTTGTCCATGACTGCGGTGGAACTTGCCAACATCCAGGTAAAAGAGGCCTCCTCTTCCCTCTTCTCCCATCGCCCCCACCCACAGGGAAACCAGTAGGTTCTCCTTTGCACCACAGCTTGTTGCCTTAAGCGAAATCTCTCATAGTGGCTGCTTTAGGGAATACAGGCTTCCCATGGCTGGTCTCACTGGCCCCTCGCAGTAGCTGCAGTTCTCCCACTCTTTGTAGGTTCTAGGTTTCTGTCAGGTTTTGTGGCTCCAGCTCCCTCACACAGACAGCCTGAGATGACTCCCAGGCTGCGCACACATCATACAGCCACGCTTTGTGCACGCTGTACATTTAAAGCACGTGGCCTGTCCCAAAGAACCCTAAGGGTTTGCTAAGGGTGCTGGGAAGCATTGCTCTGTTGACTACAGTTCCCAGGGGAAGCCGGGTGCATTAACTGTGTGGCCTCCAACTTCTCTTGGCACGATCCGCATTTAACGGAGCTGTTTCTTGGTTTCCCTTTGCAGCTCCACTCACTCCAAAATGGCTCCCTGGCCCCAGTGGTGCACCCAGGTTTTCTATGTGGGCAGAGGAGGGAAAGAAACTTGCCTTATCAGATCTTTGGTCCATCTAGTTCAGTACTGTCTGCACTGATTGGCAGTGGTTCCCAGGGTTTCAAGATAAGAAATCTCTCCTTCCCTGCCTGGAGAGGCTGATGATTGAACCTGGGATCTTCCCCATGCTAAGTACCGTATTTTTCGCTCTGTAAGATTCACCAGATTACAAGATGCACCTAGTTTTTGGAGAAGGAAACAAGAAAAAAAATACTCTGAATCTCAGAAGCCAGAACAGCAAGAGGGATCGGTGCACAGTGAAAGCAGCAATCCCTCTTGCTGTTCTGGCATCTGGGATAGCTGCGCAGCCTGCATTTGCTCCATAAGACGCACATACACTCCCCCTTACTTTTTAGGAGGGAAAAAGTGAATCTTATAGAGCAAAAAATACGGTAGATGCTATAACCACTGAGCCGTGGGCCCTTTCCCTAATATATTTCCAGAATATATACAGACAACGCAGCCTTTGCAGGTGGCCTGCTTTCCTGCCCCACCAAAATTCTTTCTCATACAGCCCCTCTTTCATGTTCCTCTCTCCTCTTCCTCCTGCAGGTCTCTGCGGGTCTGGCTCGGCTCAGCTCCGACTTGCAGTGCTACCAACGCCACTTTGAGTGGCTGCGGAGGGCAGCCCCACTGCTGCTGCGGCCCATGGAGCACGACATCACCACAGTGCACAGCCGGCTGGAACGCCTCCTCAAAAGACTGGAGCACCTGGTAAGGCTTTGAGAGGAAGGAACAAATCCTGGGGGGTGGTCCCAATTGTGTGGGGTTGACTAGATGCACCTGCAAGGAAGGCCCCTTCCAGGCTGTCACTGCTTTTGGGTGGGATTCAGTCCCATACCAGCAAAATCAGGTTGTCAGGTCTTGCACAGCAAAATTGCTTCCCCCAAAGATCAGACTTTTTGCTGTAAGGAAAGTGATGGGGAAAATGCACTGGGAAGCCTGGGGTGATCCTTGCATTGTCACCTTAGGAACATAGGAAGTCGCCCATCATCAGAAATAAAGGTAAAGGTAAAGGGACCCCTGACCATTAGGTCCAGTCGTGACCGACTCTGGGGTTGCGGCGCTCATCTCGCTTTATTGGCCGAGGGAGCCGGCGTTTGTCCGCAGACAGCTTCTGGGTCATGTGGCCAGCATGACTAAGCCGCTTCTGGCGAACCAGAGCAGCACATGGAAACGCCGTTTACCTTCCTGCCGGGGTGGTACCTATTTATCTACTTGCACTTTGACGTGCTTTTGAACTGCTAGGTTGGCAGGAGCAGGGACTGAGCAACGGGAGCTCACCCCATCGCGGGGATTCGAACTGCCAACCTTCTGATCGGCAAGTCCTAGGCTCTGTGGTTTAACCCACAGCGCCACCCGCATCCCATCATCAGAAATAGGGATGGGTTAACATGGGCTACCTCAGAGCTTCTGTCCTTGCTCCAGAATGTCACAACTCACCCGCTTGTCTGCTTCTCCCCCAGATGACCAAGCTCAGCCTCTCACGGCCCAACGACCCTCTGCCAACCCTGCCAGCCCACGGCACCCACTGGTCTGTGGTTCAGGCAGGACACGCCATCGTCCACTCATTTCACCTCTACCTGGACTGGGCATCTCGCGTGCTGGTTCTGATCCGGAACAAGCTGTGAACGGCAAAGAAACTGAACCACCATGGGTATTTTGGAAAGCCTTCTCACGGACCTGGAACTCTTAGATGCTGCTTCAGCAATACCGGTGGAGGAGGGTGCAAGGAAGGAAAGAAAGTCTATGGAACAGGGCGCCCCTGGATTCCTCTTCTGGGGGGTGCTGCAAGGGGGGGATGCTGAGACCTAGGGCCCACTCACACACCTTTCCTACTCTGTGGGGGGTGCATCGTGAAACAAAAAGCAACTTCCCTTGCCCTTGGAAGGACACATTCTCCCTCAAGGCTTGGGGAAATGGTATGGGGAAAGGGGGGCTTCCCCTTCTTCCAAGGACATTTTTGCCCTCTCCTGCTCCCTGTTAATGGAACACTATAATCTGTATGATAAGCATTGATTTGTGTCAAGTATCGGAGACCCCTTATAGGTATATTCGTGGTGGATAATCTGCCCGAAAAGCACCTTGCTCACCACGATTGTTCTTTCCCTACCACTAGATTGTGTGCTGCAATCTAGGGCGCCCTCTCAGCTTGTGCCCCACAGGTCTGGGCAGTGCCCCCAGGGAACTGAGCAGTGTGCGTGAGAAGATGCCGCAGTTCTGTAGGCCGAGGAGGGGAGGAGAGGATTCATTGAAGGCGGGAGGCTTGACCTCTCATTGGCAGCCATCCTGATTTCATCAATAGCCCCTGCCAGTTTCTGCCCCTTGTCCACCTGCAATCTAGTACCACCCCAAAAGTGTGGCCACAATCTAGCACAGAATCAATGGTTTTTAGCATACCTCATACAGGCTGTCACTGCACCACACACACACAGATGGATTAATAGGGTAAGTCAGGGTGGTTGCTGTTGTCTTTTTAAAGATGCCAACTATTTTAAAGATAAGATAGCATAAAGGGCGTTGGACGCATCATTCCCCATTCTCACACAGCGAGGCAATGCTTCTTCTAAGATGCGATATCATGCGTGTCTTGTCTAAAAGCAAATGACGTTTGCTTTTTATCCCCTTTCAAAACTATTGTTACACATATACAGATTTATGCAGATTTCATCAGTTAATTATAGCTGGACGACCAATCAAAACTCAAGAGACAGAAAAGCTTTTAGACGTCTGAGGCACCTTTTCTCAAAAGAGATGTTCTTGTAGTTGGTAGTTGCTTTAGGCAGTAATTGAGTCTTACCTTTTGTTTCAACAATAGGCCAAAAAAAATCACACATAAAACAAGCCATGTTTTTGTTAAAAAATAATTTCATTGGAAAGGAAAGGCAGAAAGTTGAGATTGTGAAATTAATTTTCATACTCCTGAAAAAGCAACAACGAATCGTCAAAAGTTCAAGGCAGATTTGTTTACCAGCAGCGCCCTCTGCTGGATCATTTTTGTCAGCCCAGCCAATACCGTTGCCGCAGTGGGATACACAAAGGACCAGTTAAAAAACCAAACAAAACCAATTTCACCTTCAAAAGAGTTTTGGAATAAAGACTATTAACCCAATATGTATCCTTCTGAATGTACCCATTTGAATTTTGGCCGAACATTTCTATAAAATGCATTGATCATAGAATTGTGGAATTGTAGAGTTGGAAGGGACAGAGGGTCATGCAAGCCCCCAATCATGCAGGAATCTCAGCGGGAAAATGCATTACAGATGGCGATCCATCTGCTTAAAAACCTCCAAGAATGGAGAGTCCCATCACCTCCTGAGGAAGTCTGTTCCACAGTCAAGTAGCTCTTACTGTCATAAAGTTCTTCCTGAAGTTTAGTCAGAATCTGCTTTCTTGTAACTTGAATCCATTGGTTTGGGTCCTACCCTTCGGAGCAGGAGAAAACAGGCTTGCTTCATCTTCAGATATTTGAAAATGGCTATCATATCTCCGCTCAGTCGCCTCTTTACCAGGCTCCATATCCAACAACTCCCTCAACTGTTCCTCATAAGGCCTGCTTTCCAGAACCTTTATCATCTTGGTCCCCCTCCTCTGCACACCTTCCAGCTTGTCAATATCCTCCTTAAATTGTGGTGCCCAGAACTGGACTCAGAACTCCAAGTGTGGTCTGACCAAGGCAGAATAGAGTGGAACTATTTTTGATGGAGAAGTTCATCCCATTCTTACCCCTTCATGGCTGTAGTTAACCCTCCCCACTCCTGTTTCAGGTATTTATCATGAGCCCTTCATTGCTCCACAGTATTTATAAAGCCATTAGGTTTCTTCCTTGTAAGTTATTATTATGTTTTAATTTATTATCTGTTCCAAGTCTGGTTCATTTTATTATTATTATTAATTATTATTATTATTATTGTCATCATCATTGTGTTTATTATTATTTTTATTATATTTTATGAATGTTATTTTATTTTGAGCATCTTCCAAGTATTTATTGACCGGCTCCTCTCTCTTTCTTTCTTTATCTATCTCTCCCTCTCTCTTCCCCCTTTTTTGTAATAAAAAAGATTTTAAAAAAGATGGGGGGAAATAAATTTGAAATAAAAAAAATTAAATGGATAAAAACAAAAGAGCTGTGTTTTTGATATGAGAAATGATCTAAAACATATAATTCAATTGCCGCTCATATAACAACTCCTGTTATTCGGACAAACAGCCAACGACGGTTTCCGAACCCGTCACTTTGGAGCTGCAATTGGGAGGGAAGCTGTGTCAAAGCAGAGCACCCAGCTACAGTAGCACTTTACCTGCCGTGCCACCAGGGTTGTTTTCCTCAGCAAGCCTGGCAGTCGCAGAGCTTTGGGCTTCTAGGCTGAACTTCCAGCCTGCATCTAGTCAGCTCATCTTAAGGGCCAATTCCTGTCCCCAAAACCCCATAAAATTTGGAGCTTGCTCCTCACAGTCCACACCACACATTTCAAGTACTGTGCTATGTACCACAGGCATGGCTTCCCCCAAGGAATGCAGTGTGCTGCTGTTTGCTAAGGGAGCTGCAATTCCCAGAGAAGACCGATTATTAAACCACTCTGGGAATTGCAACTTTCTTCATGGGTGGAATAGTCCAGCAGCACAGGTTCCCCTCCCTCTGTGGCACTTTATTTATTTATATTTATAATTTATATACCACCTTTAATCTTCCAAGCAGCTGGAGGTGGCATACATGGTTCTCCGTTTCATCCTCACAACAACCCTGTGAGGTAGGCTAGGTCAAGAGGCAGTGACTGGCCCGTGAATTGAGCTTCATGGCTGAGCAGGGATTCGAACCGTCGCCTCCCAAGTCCTCCTTCCCACCTTTGCTGGGCCTAGAAAGCAGGGCTTGGTGCTTGATGAATTTACTCTCCCCTCTTCCCTCCAGCTTTATAAAACGAAGCAGACTGACACTGATTAATCCTTTAATTTATTTAATCAACCAGAAATTAACAACTCTTGATCTTCTCATTCCCCACACACGGGGAGATTATATGAAGCAAAGCCGATGAGATAAATCAGGAGAGCTGCAGACGGGTTTTGGGGGGAAGGCATGTGAGGTGGGGACAGTGTTGAGGGGCCATGGCTGCCATCGGGGGGGGGCCAGGGCTACGACGCTGAAGGAGCCCAGAGCCTTGAAAAGGAGCCATAACAGTTCAGTGCCTGGTTGAAATGGGCAATGTGAAAACACGGCAAGGCAAGACCTATTTTACTACTCAAACACGCCACATACATAAAGACACTTGGGCCTCGCTCGCTGACATCCCCTCAGGATGTGGGGAGGCTATCAAAGTTGTTAGGGTGCTTTCACAACAGAGAAAGCTGGGGTTTAGTGTATACGTGTGCTCCACGCCTTGGTTATTAGGAAAAAGTCTGAAGTCTTTATGACACTAGCTCAAAACACCTCCTAAGAGCAGTGAGAGAATAAGCCTGCTACATGCACCACAGAACAGGGAGCTGCAGGAATTTCTGCTGACCCTGGGATTTGTAGATAGGAATATTTGATGGGAATGAAGGAGAGTGGGAATTTTCCCTCTCAAGAATGAAACACGAACTGAAGCAGCCCGGTATCTACCTTTGCGAAGTGCAAGCTGACTAATATACTAGTAACCTTGTTTACAGACAGGACCTATGCAGGATTAGTGAGGAACAAGTCCAATATGCACCGCAAACAGCCTTGGATAAATAAATGGTTATATACAGCCCTTGGTGTCAACTGACAGTGGATACACACGATTCTACTGCAGCCGCAAGCAGAAGGCAATCCTATTGGTTTCTACTGACATAAGCAGGTGCCGCAGCACCTAAATAACAAGGCCGAAAGTTTGTCACAGTGGCTATTTCCTAACTAGCCACAGCCCTCACAGAACATGCCAGAAAGCATAAGAGGGCCTCGAAATTCAAGGAGTCACAGTGGGATTGGGCCAAGATCTCCTGCCACACTCCCCACGAGCAACTGCAATGCACAATCTGAGAGGTATCCCCCATGATCTGTGGCCATATGCCAGAGGCATGTCGGCGTCTAAAGAAGAAAACATCCGAACAGCATTAATGGAATAAAATCGGGGCACACAATCCTCTGGGATTTGGGCAAAGTGAGGCAGCTGCCTCAGGCAGCTGATTCTGAGAGGTAAAGAGACAGGCCTCTTCGTGATCCCTGAAGTTGCCTTCCTCAGGTGCCGTGGCGGACGCTGCCCCTCAGTTTTTAAGAATGATTCAAATGCCAGTGTATTGGCGGGGACAATCTTGTCCTTTGCCTTAGAGGGAAAAATCTCAAGGCCAGCTCTTAGTGTTGCCTTGCTGAACCGAAGGAGAGCTCCACAAGAACGCAATAATATCATTTCATGGCTTCCATTTATCCCTGTGAGGTTCCTGCACAACAGCTTCCTAATACATTTCGCCCTCTGGGTTTGACCTGCCCACCTCCCACTCTACCGCCCCAAACTCAACACATGAGGCAGCTGCCTCCTCTTGCCTCCTGGTAGGGCTGCCAAAATAATAATAATGATGTCTTCTTCGCCCCACCCCCCAAAAAGTAACTGCTTGTACAGTTTGAAATGGGCCTGATCCATAGGTCTGCTCTCGCCCTTTTACCCAACCTAAAAGTCATGGCAACCTCAAAGAACCAATTTTTTCACGGGTTGTGAAATGGCCATAGGTTGCCTAAGCAGAGGGAAGGGCATATTTGTGATGGGACAAACGGTTGGATGGATGGGTGAGCAAATGGAAGAGAAGGGATGTGATGGTGGGAGGTCTTGTTCTCCACCCAACATCCTCTCTCTCTCTCTCTAGCATGGCTCCCCGTCATCCTCGTCACCAGCATCTCCACTGTGACCTCCTGCGAGCCCAGCATACCCTCCCGCGTAGGCCTTGCGCCCAATGCCTGGAGCCATTGGGCCTGGAGGGCTAGGGGAGAAGTCTAGAGAGTCACTAACGCTGAAGATATATTTATCCCAGAGGAAGCGTTCGAGGTCAGGGGCCAGAGCGGGCGAGCCGGGACCTCTGCTGCTCCCCATCGACGCCGTGTGCTTCTCAAAAATCCGCCGGCGGTACTTGAATTCCAGGATGGTCTTGGTGTAGGTATTGAGGGTCAGCACAGAGGCTGACATGCAAAGGGTGAACGAGAGCCAGGCCATGCTGTGGGAGAGAAATTGGGGAGGGGGCGCAAAGGGATGAGTCTCAAGGTCATTCTTGCACTGCCAAATCTATCCAGATCCCCCATGATAACTGACTTCCCAAAACTCCTTTTCCATGTATTCATCGGTTCTGACACAATTCTTCACCCATTCATGTCACGCAGCCTTTCTCAACCTGTGGGTCCCCAGATGTTGTCGAACTACAACTCCCATCACCCCTAGCTAGCAAGGCCAGAGCTCAGGGATGATGGGAGTTGTAGTCCAACAACATTGGGGACCCACAGGTTGAGAACCGCTGAAAGGTAAAGGCAAAAAAAGGTAACCATTCATGTACCGCTCCTTCTGTTGGTGTCTAGATAGCAGGAAAAGGACCAGCCTAGACCAGTGTTTCCCAACCTTTTTTGGGCAAAGGCACACTTGTTTCATGAAAAAAATCTCGAGGCACACCACCATGCCAGATGGGGAAAGGTCACTTTTTACTTATGTAAAAAAAAAAAAAAAAAATAGTAACAGCATAGAAGGTAATGGTTAGGCTAGCATCCCTCTTCCAAATATGCTAGGTTTTTATTTGCAGGGACTGTTCTACATGGGAAAGCATTCAGCACTGTCATTCTCCCATCTGCCATCTGAATTGGTACTATTCTGGGTCAACTTACTCTGCTGCATGTGTAGATGAAAATGGCACCAAGTGTGGGGGAGGGGGCAGAACAGGTTTCAGATACAGGATATTAAGCATACACGTACTTCAGATTGAACTGGTTGCTTGCTTTGCAAGTTTTCATTTCCCAAATGACTGCCTTGGCAAGCGCAATACCTACCAGGCTCAACGCCGGTCTCGCGCTGCCGCTTCCCACGCTCTCAAGGACCCGGGAGGAGGAAGGCGTGAAGGGAATCCCGAAGGCGCGAAAACCTCGCGCATGCGCAGGCCTTCCGCCTGCAACAGCCCAGTAGGCCGGCCGAAGCGAGCGGCGATGGGATGTGGGAGGGAGCTCGCTCGCCGCCCCGCGTGTGCCTATGTGGGGCACGTTACAGCCCCGTGACGTCAGCGCCACGCAGGCAGCCAGGCAGGCAGACGGCGAGAGCCCCGCGCTGGGCGGCCTCTCCTCGCCGCCGCCGCCCCGCCTCTCGCCGCCCGACTCGCCCGCCTCCCTCCAGGCAACATCTCGCGGCACACCAGGCAACGTCTCGCGGCACACTAGTGTGCCGCGGAACACCGGTTGGGAAACACTGGCCTAGACCAAACAATAAAGGAGATGTTATGGGCTGCCGTCCCATGGTCAGTGTGTTCAGTGCTTCCGAACCCTCTCTTCTTCACCCTCACAGAAACCTTTTGACATCAACAATCCAACCAACCAAATATGATGAGGTATTGCCAAACCATGGGTTTTTGTTCCTTTGCTTATGATGTTGGACACCAGATGGGGAAACAGAGGCTGAAAGGTTTGCTCCAAAGAGCTGAGCTAAAACAAAATTTGGGTGGGAGGAGGGAGTGTCAAACAAATGATTCGAATTCGGGTTTGCTTGCAAAAATGCAAATGTAACACATTTAGGGGTTTTAGCGGGGCAGGGGGAGGGGACAAAATGGAAATTGGGCACATTGCTACTATATAGCATGGGATGGTGTTATAAATAAGGGAGATTCAGCCTTGGATTCCATGCTGGGTGACCCCCCAAGCAGCTGCCATAAAAAATCTGAAAAATCTGAAAAATCCCAGAATGAAGAGGCAGAAGGAGCAGTATTACTACTGACTGGGGCATGTGTCATGTTGAGCCCCAAGTCCCAACTAGCAAGCAAGAAGTAGCAGAACTGCAAAATCACCCTAATATGAATGGAACCCCGAACATAGGTTCTCAGGTCTAATGCTTTCAGTCACAATAATTTACTGTCCACTCATCCAGTAACTTCTCCCATCTTACATTTCTTCTCTTCCACCTTTGTCCATCATTCTGTCTCTCTTTCTCCCCTCTTTCCACTTCCTTTCCCATAACCTCTCCTCCTCCTTTCATCTTTGGACAGAGCAACAACTCCACTTTCAAATGCCAACACCCAAAGTGGCTGGATGCAGGAAGGAAAGGGGGCTCCTGTACCTTTAAGCTACAGCTGCTGGAATTCCTGCTGCTGTGCTTTAATTAAAGGTGTAGGAGCCCTGTCCTAGGTTGCATTTACCCTACCCACACCCCACTCCTCTCCCATGCTGGCTTTACTCACCCAAATGACCAGCCATAATACCATGTCTGAGGTCTCCAGTCTTTTGGTCCCAGGTTCACAGCCACCTGAAAGACGGTCATGTACATCATATGGGCTACCATGCCCAGGAGCCCTGTTGGGAAGGGGTGGTCAGAAAGATACTCAGAATATGCCCAGCCACAGTGCTCTTACTTCCCTTGGGTACCACTTTCTGAGGTCTGAGCTAAATAGGAGCAGAGCCATGGCGGCTCAACAGAAAGCAAGTTTGACAGACTTGGGAGATTTCACTTACAAGTGTAAGGCTGTACATTTCAGAATCCTGGTGTCTGCTGCCTCGGGCAGTCACCACACTTTGCCTAATGGTAGGGCCGGCCAATCCCTGAAATGCTGTTTTCCTTTGCTTAGGAAATTGCGTCCTTGAGAAAACACTCAAACTTGAGATTCCATCCCTACTTGAAAGCTTAAAGTTGTACATTCTAGGGAAAGCTATACCAAGCTATATCCTGCTGAATGCATGAACTGACAGGCATTTGTGGCCTGGCTTAGCTCATGGCTTCAGTATTTCACTGTATCGTTTGCCTCTAGCAATGGACACACGCTATTGATCACATGCTGGGAAACGAGGCCAGCTACCTCGGATTACCCTTTACAAAGCTGGCAGAGTGCCTTGCTGGGCACCGCATATGAATAAGAAATGTTGTGGTGGTTTTAATTTATATCCCATCCTTCCTCCCAAAAGAGCCCAGGGTAGCAAACGGTCTTTCGGCCAGTGATCTCAGGGTTGCCAGGAAGCGTATCTTTCAGCTATCAAATGTTTGTGTATACAGGAATGTTTTAAAATTCCTCCTGAAACTCAACAATGAGGGAGAAAGACACAAACTCAACAACGGTGGAGGGCACCACCACTGAGAAGGCCCTGTCATGGACAAGCATCAACCAGGCAGTGGCCAGTGCTTGCACCACCAAGCATGTGCAGTAACCTTCTCAAGGGGGGGGGGACACATTACACACAAATGGGTATAAATAAACTACAACAGTTTGGGGTTGCAGGGTTTTGTTTTCATTTTGGGGGCTTCAACCTTTGCCTTCCACCTGTTTCCCCACTCTAAATAACTCCCAAAATACTTTTCATTTAAAAAGAGAGACTTCCTTACACACATTTAGATATAATGTGAGCATGATACAGGAGTGACTGGACCATGATCTCAAGTACTATATGGATGGGGTTAGGGTCAGTGGTGAAAGTCCATACAAAATGAGAGAATCGGAGAGTCAGGGACGGAGATCTTTAAAGCGTTAAAATCAGGATGTGGAAAATATGGAAACAACGAGGAGAGTCAGGACTGAGATTTGGAGATATGCTTCAGAGGTCCAGACTATTGGGAGCCCCGAAAAATCAACAATTATCATTTGGATTATAATTTGGTCTTTTTTATTTTAGTTTTTTATTTTAATTGGATTATGATTGGATATATTAATTGGATGTTTTTTATTGGAAAATTAATAAAAATGATTAAAAAAGAAAAAAGAAAGTCCATACTAAATGAGCGTTAGGTCTGAGTGCTGTGTGTGGATACCTAGTGGGAAGACTACCGGAGGCACAGAGTAGATAGAGATACCTGAGAGAACAGTGATCACAGCCGCAAAAGCATTGATCTTGAGCCCATCAATGAAGTTGGCATAGTAGACGGCATCCAAACACATCAATAGGAACCCCACAGTCAACAGGATAATATAAAGGAATTCGGAGGCAACGGAGAGCCACAGCACCCCTGGAAAGTAACATGGGTGGTGAGTGGGAGATTATAAACAAGCTATATGTCTCACAGGACACGGGTGGCGCTCTGGGTTAAACCACAGAGCCTAGGACTTGCCGATCAGAAGGTCGGCGGTTTGAATCCCCGCAACGGGGTGAGCTCCCGTTGTTCGGTCCCAGCTCCTGCCAACCTAGCAGTTCGAAAGCACGCCAAAGTGCAAGTAGATAAATAGGTACCGCTCCGGCGGGAAGGTAAGTGGCGTTTCCATGCGCTGCTCTGGTTCGCCAGAAGTGGCTTAGTCATGACCTGGAAGCTGTACGCCGGCTCCCTCGGCCAGTAAAGCGAGATGAGCACCGCAACCCCAGAGTAGGCCACGACTGGACCTAATGGTCAGGGGTCCCTTTACCTTTACATGTCCCACAGAGTCTGGGGAAGGGCCATAGCTCAGTGGTAGAGCACCTGTTCCCCATGCAGAAGGTCCCAGGTTCAAGCCCCAGCAACTCCAGGTAGGGCCACTGCCAGTCAGGGTAGACAAAACTGAACTAGACAGACCAGCAGCTTAACTCAGCATAAGGGCTTTTCTGCTTTTTCCAGGCACAGGCCTGGGCTTTAAAGCTCTATGTCAAAGCACTCTTGTTTTCGTCCTGGAGCTTTCCCTGTGAAAACCTGCTCAACGAACGGCAGCAGCATCCTAAATTCCTGTTTATAACACATGTGATGTTTTTAACATGTTGATAACACATGGCAAGCCTTTGGGATGGAGTTAACTCTACAGTGAATTGGTTCATACAGAATAAATAACTAAGGAGGAAAAAATAGTGCTCAGCCTCATTACTTTGTTCGGCAGTAATGAGTATCACAGTGACCTGTTTTGTAGGCACATTTAAACTTGCGGACTTCAATTGATTTCATAGTCGTTCCTTCTCCCCACTGAATCGTGGAAGCTGTAGTTTGGGGATAGAGGAAGATCTCTAACAGAATCCTCACCAACTAGATTCCCAAGATTGTTTGGTGTGGGGGACACATGGCGGTTGGTATAAAGCCAACTTTTGTAGCCGGGATGTAGAAGAGAAGAGAAACAAGAGGAACGCAGAAAACTGCCTTATACTGAATCAGACTTCAATCCAGGCCAGTATTGTTTACACAGATTGGCAGTAGCTATGCAGGGCTTCCCAGCCCCACCTGGGGACACCAGGGATTGAACCTGTGGCATTCTGCTCCATGGATGCTCTACCACTGAGCTGTACTCCTTCCCTGTGAATTAAAGGGCTGTGGAACACTGCATATTAATTAGAAGTATGGTAAACGGAGAGCAGGGGTTGGGTTTCCTATTTGTCATTGAAATTAATGTAAAATATTCAATGCTGGAGTAAAACGTTCATGCACAACAAATAGGTCCAATGCAAGCATTTAGCATTAAGCACATATTCCAAAACTGCAAACTGGTTGCCAATATTGTAAGATCTTTTAAAGATGTCATCCTTTGCTCCAGTACTGTAGGGTATGGTGAGAGTTATGCACATGTCATTATGATGACCTAAGTGACCCCCTGCCGTATCTGGAGTATAGGATTGTTCAGCCTGAGTTATTAATTTCAATAACTTAATTAGCTTCCAGGCTTTAAATAACACTCCCGTGTCAAAGGTTCCATCTGTGATTTCCGAGTGTTTGTGAAACATACATCTAGCAGCGGGCAACAGATGCAATACTACATCATAATATTTTATAGGCACTATGGGATGCACATAATTTAAAATAAATAATAGGAGGTCCAGAATGCTGACTACCAATGTCCAGAATGTTTCTGCCCTATACATTTCCACTATGGTGGTGGGGTTTTATTTGGGCGGTGTCAAATTTTATTACAAAAGCCAGTCATTTCCAGGAAGTGGGTAGCTCTGTGCTGTACATAAGTTTAGCCCTCTCCTCTTAGGGAAGGTTCAGAGCTGGCAGCCATCTCTGCTTCTTGTAGAAGCGAATTCCACAGTTTAACTCTGCCCTGTGTGAAGAAACACTTCAGTTAAACTATGGCATTCGCTCCCACAAGAGGAGGCAGGAACGGCCACCATCTTGGACGTCTGGAGCAGACAGGACTCAGTCGGATGAGCCACTGGTATATCTCAACATAAAACAGCATTATTAATTCTGCCATTTCCCGTTTCTGTTTGCACCCTTAAACAAGATGGCCTGTTTTGCCCTCCCCAAATCTCACCTTTCTCCGACTCGGGGGGCAGCTCAATGAAGCTCCGGCACTTCTCCTCTGAAAAGGAGGAACAAGGGAAGAAGACGCCGTCAGTTTATCCAAAGGCTGGTGCTGATTGTGACAATTATGTCATTCTTCTGTTGGTCAAGATTTCCGTCTCGCCTCGCAGTGAAAGACGGCTTCCCACAATTTACTCCCCATCCAGGCTTGGAACGCACTTGTCTTTTAAACTGCAGGTGGCTTCATTTGAGCCAGGATGCAGCCCCAAGACCCGAGGGCGGGGAGGCTAGTAGGACAAACCCAACTACATATGGGGTGGATTAGGAATCCAGATCTACACCACTATTTTAAAGCACATTTCCCCTACAAAGAATCCACAGAGCTACAGTGCCAAGTGTCATCAGCAAACTACAGTTCCCAGGATTCTTCAGGGGAAGCTGTGCACTATAACTGCATGGTGTGCATGACCACTGGCCCTAGATCACAAGAGGTGGAGACCTCATCTCATTCTGCTCCTCTGCTGCCCTTTGACAGCCACCTTCCACATCCCCACCACCAACACTCTTCCCCTTTCTCTCTCTTGTCTGTCTAACAGGAGAGGGGTTTTGTGACCTAGCTGTCAAACTAATAACAGCCCTCATGGAATCTGCTCCGTCTGAGATGTCGGCTGGTTTCGTACCTCCGTGATGCTCCTCACACGAGAGCCAGAAGCCCGTGTGGAAATACCGGAAAGCGTACTTGTCTTCACCCGTTTCCCAGATGTACTGGACGACGTGGGGGTCCATGGTCACGTTCCCATCCATCGTCTCGTTGCTGTTGATGGGCACGCAGTTCCCCTTCTTGACGGCCGAGAGGCAGGGGGGCTTAACCACCTTGTGGGTCCCCTCACACCAATAGCTGGTGCAGAAGGCCGAAACAGAAAAGCAGAGGGCCAAAGAGTTGAGGCCCAAGGAGAGCATTGAGCGGGACCTTCGGCTCAGTTTAATCATCGTCCCTGTTTTCCCAAGAGATGAGAGGATCTGTCTGTTTTGCTGCCCGAAGTCGCACCGAAATAATTCAAATTCGCTCACAATTCCCAGAAAACTATGTTCTACTGTTGGATAAATCTGCTGGTTCCTTGTTTCAGTGGAGAGAAGCCAATTCTCAACAAACCTCCGTTTACAGAGAATGCCTCACTTTTGATCATGATTTTCTCTTCCTTATTCGTATGCTGTGGCCCATCCAATATGCCCACTATGAAGCAGTACACCACAAAATGGTGTAATCATAATTTGAACTCAGCCTGGGGTTCTGTTCTTATTAGGGACTAGTTACTTGAGGAGTGCTTAAGAGCCAGGCGGGTGCTGGCACCCAAGATACCTAAGGTCTCAGAAAGAAATTAGTTTGAACTAATGAACACAGAAGGAGATAGGCAGCATGATTCCTACCTAGACCTTCCAGATTTTGATTAATGATCTGTGTATAAAGTAATTATTAGCAGGTTGTCTAGTTTATGCTGAGTACTTTAAAAAGAACTTTAAAACACACACATACTTTCCCCCACTGCTAACCTTCCCCCTTTTTATAGCTATATTAATTAATTATTAACAACACCCATTCAAAGTCTTGTTAAAAAGCTGTTGTAGGCCATTGCCCCGATTAATCAATCTTCCAAATTAAAATCTTAAATCCCTTAAGGTTTGGTTTGGTGTTTAAAGTGATGGGTTTGAAGTCAATGCAAAAAGTCTTTTAGAGTCCACAAAGAATTGCAAACCATCTCGGATTTTCCCCTCACATGTCCTTGACTAACAAAGTCTCTTCCAAACAGAGTGGAAATAGTCTAAACTTTAGTCTAATTGCTGCAGTCTAAATGCTGCACAGTAGCCCTTCTGAAATAGTTTTAAAGAGTGAAAACCTCCCCATTAGAGTTGGGGTGTCAAGAAATGTGGACGCCCAGCTTCCCCCTTTTCTAGCAGCTCAGAGGGGACTGTATAAACAACTCTACAGTTTGTCACGAGGCATGAAGTGATTTAAGGTTTGCCAGTTCTGCTTGTCTGCTAAGAGGGGAAAGCTCTGTGAGCTTTCAAAGGCCTCGTCCACCCCTCAAATTCAAGCCCCTGAGAAGGGGGAGAGGAGTGGAAAACCCAGCCTGCAACCCTGACTCCCCAAAATGACTTACTACTAGCAAGTTCCGTTGTCTCGAGCAACCCCTCTTTTCCCTCTAGATTGGTACCCCTCAGTGGTATTTTTGGGAGTAGCCAGATTAAGGTGCAGTCTTCACAACCCACAATGGCCGTCACTTGTGGTGAAGAGGCAATGCTTAGAGTTCTAGGTTCTGCTCACTCAAAAATCCAACTAGCCCTCTGAAATGCCCCTTATTTTTCATTCAGATCACTCCTGTTAAGAGTTTCCTTCTGGCCCTCCAATTTTGTTAGAAACTGTCTTCAGATACGGCCTGTCTGTCTCTGCCCCCTATGCCCAGTCAGTCAGCTGTGTCCTTTTGGGATCAGACGGCTCCAAGGGCTTTTTGTTCGTCCTCCTTTAAGAATTATATTCTAATCCACTTTCCCTCAGGCACGAAGGAATCCAATCTCTTCCCTTCTGTCCTGACTCCATCGCCGCTTTCCTTCAAAAATATCCTCCAATTCACGCTTGCAAGTTTGCAGGGTGATTATTGTTCAAATACACACTACAATTGCAAGAAGACGCATGTTTGCCGTGCCGATTCTCTTCAGGGTCTTGAGATCTGCCTGGCCAAACAGTTGCCTGGAAAGGGATGATAAAAACCCAAAGTTTGTGCAAAGCTGAAGAATAACAGGCTGAGAAAAGAAAAGGAAGAGAGAAAAGGTTCTTTCTGGAGGTACTTTTGTCAAAGTTGTCTGGTGAATCTCAACAGCAGTGGGTTCAAATGGAACAGGGCCTTTCAGTCTGTCACTTAAGGGAGTTGAAAAAGTAGGTTCTGGGGAAAGCTCAAAATGCCATCCGGCAGCAACAGAAGGAGACAGTGTCCACTTCAGTTCCAAATCACCCAAGTGGAAGAAAAGACCTGATGTGCAACACCCAAATATTTTGATCCTCTTTCTTCCCCCAGAATAGGCTGCCAAACCGATTCAAAAGAACATCGTTCATGAAGAAGGTTTCGCTGGCATAAGGTTGTTGTCCCGAGTCCTTCAGCTGAGCTGGTGGCTGGAGATCAACCCCCAAACATCGGATTTGGGGCCCACACTTGCACGGTCATTGGAGAGAAGGTCTGGAGTTCTTTCCTCAGCAAAGTAACAGCACCCAGCGCATGTCCACCCCAAAGGTTTCAAAGGAGCCAGGGACCCCTCTGCAGGCGAAGGAAAGTGCCGCTCCCAAGGGCGCAGTGTGCAGCTTGTGAGAAAATGCTCCCCAGATGCTGCTCAGAGGGAAGAATCAGGAGGTGCTCTCCAATCCGGCTGTGCAGAGTGGAGAGGTGGCATAAGCAGTGTGATAAATGAGCAAGCGGCGGAGAGCTCCGGCACCCTCCAGCGCGGCACCGTCCCCGGGGGATAGGAATCAGGCGGAGAAGTGCGGTGGCGGCTGATTAAAAAACCTCTTCATTAGTGCCAAGGGGGCACCAGTGCCAAGTGGTGGGGATTAGCATCTAATAAAGGGGGAGGGCAGGGGGGAAGGAGGGGGAGCATCTCCGCTTTGGTCTTCCCTTTCTGCAATCGCCCGGCTGCCAGGAGGAGAGGATGAGAAATTGGATGTGGAGATGAAGGAGCAGCTGGGGTCAGAGGGGATGGACACGGAGGCAGAGAGAGACAAAGAGGCTGGAAGGCTGACAAGGGCTTGTTGGAGGGGAGAGAGGGGAACGGACGCCAAGAGGAAGGCAAATTGTATGGAGATGGAGGGGGGATAATGGGGCACGGATCGATCAACAGTGGAAGACGTGCACATTAATGGGTGGATTGATCGATGTCACACACACACACACACAGAGAGAGAGAGAGAGATCATTATTTCAGAAGTGAAATATTCCCCCACAACAAAATCTGGATCTTCAGCACTTGTATGTGTGTATTAATGTATGTAAACAAACAAAACAAATATTGTGGGCAGATGGTACCAAAGAAATGCAAAAAAAGTTCATAGTTGTAGCTTTTCATTAATTTGCTTTTCACTGTCATATTTCACTCCACAGAAAATATCTACTGGCACGGAAGGATTGTGGGCGTGGAGAGGAAGGTGTGGAAGGGTAGAGAAAGACTGGCCAGTGGACAGGCCAATACAAAGAAATGCTTTATGTTACAGGTGGGTGTAGACACCGTCTGTCTATATATGAGAGAGAAAGGGGTGTGCATGAGTGAATAGACAGGCAGGAGATATGGCGATCCCGTGGAAAGGGGAAGAGAGAAGGAGAATTTCAGTCTCCCCAGCACATTCTATTTCCCCCTTTGCACGTACAATTCCTGTACGTCTTTGAGCCCTGTGTGGCCCCATCTCGCACACCCATCCTGCTGTGTCACCCTGCCCCGGGTTCACAGTCTTTCTATTTGGGACCCTGTGTCTCTTGGGATTAACTCCCAGCTGGCAATAAGGAGATTTTTTGTGTGTCCCTTTCATTAAGAGCAACGCAGAGAATCAAACCACTTGCACCACAGCCGGCACGGACTTAAAACACAGCAAAGTAATTAGGACACAGAGGATCTAGCAGGATGGGCTGGGAGCCAGAACTCCAGTCTCCAGGCTTCTCAGAGAGAGGGGAGGGTTACGCCTGCTGAAATAACAGCAGAAAACAAGCAAAAAACAGGGGTGCGTGGGCTGAGGGCTCCCAATGTTGTGGTGGGAATAGAATCTAGTCCCAGGATTAGAAGAGGCAGCAATTGGATGACCAGACGGATGCTGTCTTTAATGGTGCTGTGTGAAGAAGGCGTTTCTGTGCGTGTAGCAGGGCTGAGAAACATCTGCAGCGTAAAAAAGCTGCCTTCTAAGAAGCCAGACCATCTACTGTCCAGATACCGCCTGCACTAACTGGCAGCCCCCTCCCCCCAGTGTTTCAGATAGGCATCTACCTGGAGACGCTGCGGACTGGACCAGCGACATTCTGCCTGCAAAGCATGCACTCTGTTATGGCCGCTGGAGACTGGTCCAGTAGGGTAACTGGAGCACTGTTCCCCCTCCCCCAGTCAGCCACCAACTTACAACCAGTCCAGAGGGTAGCACCTGACTCTTAGCTTCCTTCTCTTTAGTGTTGCCCTGGTATGGGCCAATAGGAAGGAGGGTGGGGACAAAAATAGCTGGTTCCCCTTGTCATTGGCTCTAGCTCCCTCTACTGGTTGTCTCCTTGCCTTTCACCCTACCAGTCTCATTGGTTATGACCCTTCCCTGCATGAATTCCCTTTTTTATACAGCTATTTGAAGTTCCTTTGGATTCCTGGGTTGTTGTTGTTTTGAGAGGGAGTTTAAGAGAGTAAGGAGAAGCTGGGGGCCAGGAGGACCCTCAAGTTCTCAGGCACCTTATAATTATCGCAGGAAAAGACACTTCCTAACTGTGAACACCAGTGTCTAATGACATTACTAGTTGTGATTTATGGGTCACTCTTCTTCTTCTTCCCTGCCCTGGGCTTTTTGGGGTTCAGCAGGGAGGGAACTGTAGGCATGACCTGCAGAAGCAAACAGTTTTGGGGACAGGTGCCACATGATGGGGGGAAGCCAACCGAATGCCCCACCAGCAGCTTCAGCCTCTCCCCTTTGGAAGGCACGAGTAGTAATCATCTACTATATGTATTTTGGAAAGTTGGTTGTCAGTTCTCTATGCACCTGGGCACATCTTAAGAGACCATAACCAAATCTGGCATGATGGTTGCTGAGATCAATGTCATGGACCAGGGACCCCCCAAACTAAGGCTTGCGGGCCGGATAAGGCCCGAGGGACTCGTTTATCTGGCCCTCGGCAACCCCCGCTGCCTGCTCTTACCGGCACTGCGCTGTGCAGCTGCCCACTTCCGGGTCGGAGGAGCACCGGAAATAGCTTGTGCGCATGCGCAAGCATTATTTCCGGTGCACATCCGGGTTGGGAGAGGCCCATGCCCATGCACACAAGCTATTTCCGGTGCTCCTCTGACCTGGAAGTGCGCCGGAAATAGCATGTGCGCATGCGTATGGGCACGCACTCCCCTGCCCTCCGGCCTGCCGCACAATCAGTGCTGGAGACACCGGCCTGAGGCATGGAAAGTTTGCTGCCCCCTGTCATGGACTGACTGGATGCAGAGGAGTGGGGGGAGGCACCCCATGAGAAGAAGGCTCTGTGCCAGCGGATTGGTGGTGGGTCTCGATGCGCGGTCAGAGGAAGAAGAGGGAGCAGACTGGGAGAAGGAGATGTCGGAACTCGGAAGCTGAAGAGGTAACAGGGTTTAGTGGGCAGGAAGAGGCTGTGGCAGAGAGCAGTTCAGAAACAGAGGCGGGTCAAGAGGCGGAGTGCAGGCAGGCTGCTGAAGAAGTCAGGGAATCTTCCTGCTCCTTCTGTGACCAGCTGCTCCCCACCTCTGGTCTCCCAGAACACAGAGGAATGAAGAGGGCAGGGCAAAGAGAGACAAGTCAACAGAGCCTTAGGCTGCTGGGGAAGGAATCTGGGGAGGAGGCTTAGAGAGCGGTGTATTTTGTGGTTTTATATCTTGATTTTATTCTGTGAACTGCCCTGAGACCCCCAGGTATATAAATTCAATAAATAATAATAATAATAAGGTGGGGACCTTCAGTCCTCACAACTGCCTCATTGGGGCAAGACCTACTGGGAAGAGTCACTGCAGTCGCTAGGCCTGTGTTGTTTTGGTTTCTTTGAATAAAGAGTTACCGTAGCTTCTCTGACACTGGGGTTTTTATTGCTGACTTGCTCCTGACTCTGGCTCCTGACAATCAAGGCATAGGTCTGGATACAACTGGATGCCATTTTGAATCAAGACAGCAGATTGAACCTTTCGAAATAGCACTTATTTCAGCCACTGGTTTCACAGCGCTGATTTTTGGATTATTAGAATTCCCAAGCAACTCTGGGTATGAGGCTCCTAATCACTAATAAATTGTTTCAAGGACAGAGGCATGTATGCTCTGGATTTCATGTTATGGAGGGGAAAGAGAGACCCTCTTCAGGTGGTGATGTGTACTACTTCAAAATGTGCTTAGCCGACCCAGTTGTACTAGGGGGCCTTTCTGCTCCCTCTGCTGCGTGAGGGTCCTGCCCTGATGGTGCTACTCATATGTGATGGGGAGGGAAATCAAGGAGCTGTTCATATAGGGATCCATGTATTCTTAAAAGGTTACCATTAGATCTGCGAGGGGGAGAGAGGGGGGAGAGTGGTGCAGTGGTTAGAGTGTCAGAGTAGGACTTTAGCACCCCAGCTTGAAATCCCCACTCAGTCATGAAGCTTTGGACATGCCACTGTCTCTCATCCTAACCTACCTTGCAAGGTTGTTGTAATGATAAAAAAGTGGGGGGGGGCAGAATGATTTCTGCTGTATTGAGTTCCTTGGAAAAGGGGGTAGATGATAGAGATAGATAGATGATATAGATGATAGATAGATAGATAGATAGATAGATAGATAGATAGATAGATAGATAGATAGATGATAGATAGATAGATGAGAGAGAGAGAGAGAGAGAGAGAGAGAGAGAGAGAGATGATAGATGATAGATGATAGATGATAGATGATAGATAGATAGATAGATAGATAGATAGATAGATTAGATAGACAGACAGACAGACAGACAGACAGACACCCACCCACCCATGAATCCCCTCCACAATAAATTTAGTAATTGTGAACACCACAAATAAGCCCTCTTTAGTAAAAGGATATGCATCTTCATTTCTGTCTTGCTTTATCTCAGTCATATGGTCAAGTGCCAGAATTATCCCCAGTGCAACCTGAAGCTGCTTTCGGTGTCTGTTCTGTAAGGTTGCTTCCAGACAGCTTCCATGGAGCATTCATAGAATCATAGAGTTGGAAGAGACCACAAGGGCCATCGAGTCCAACCCCCTGCCAAGCAGGAAGCACCATCAGAGCACTCCTGACATATGGTTGTCAAGCCTCTGCTTAAAGACCTCCAAAGAAGGAGACTCCACCACACTCCTTGGCAGCAAATTCCACTGTCGAACAGCTCTTACTGTCAGGAAGTTCTTCCTAATGTTTAGGTGGAATCTTCTTTCTTGCAGTTTGGATCCATTGCTCCGTGTCCGCTTCTCTGGAGCAGCAGAAAACAACCTTTCTCCCTCCTCTATGTGACATCCTTTTATATATTTGAACATGGCTATCATATCACCCCTTAACCTCCTCTTCTCCAAGCTAAACATGCCCAGCTCCCTTAGCCGTTCCTCATAAGGCATCGTTTCCAGGCCTTTGACCATTTTGGTTGCCCTCCTCTGGACACGTTCCAGTTTGTCAGTGTCCTTCTTGAACTGTGGTGCCCTCTCCATCGGTTTGCATGGAATGCTGCCTGTTTATTGAGCGTTCATTCTGAATTGTTTGTCGGCAGGTCCTACCACTTTGCATCAGGAAATCTGGCCCATTTTCACACCCAGTTGCTTATCGTAAAAAAAAAAATTAAAAAATCCAATGTGACCAAGAGGGAAGTATTTTCGTTCCAAATCAACTTGAACTGTGCCAACCTGAAATTGCCCAAATGTGATTGCCCTCCTCATGAAAGAAAAAAGCAACATCCGGTGGGGCGTCTTCTACAGAATTCCCCTTTAAATAGCAAATCCTGAGAGTTAGCCGGGGTGGGGTGAAATGATGCATTAAAATATAATTGCCAAGAAATCTACGATCTAAGCCCCAGGCTTAGAAACTGCAAGAAATCAAGGACTCCAACCCCTTTCTAATGACCCCCCTTCCCCAAGTTAGCTCCTTTTGGTCAAAAACTGAGTCAATGTAGTATCCAAAGCATTTTGATCAACACTCAAGCCTGCACTTATTGATAATGTCCACTGAAACATCTTAAACTTACTATTCAAAGTACCCTTCATAGGCCCCCAACCCCGATCTCTTAGGGCTATTTAGCAACCACTGAGCTTTTGCGTACACCCATTCAGTTACCTGTTCACAGACATTAAGTTGTCCATTGATGATGATGATGATGATGATAATGATAATAATAATAATAATAATTAATAATAATAATAATACTTTTATTATTTATACCCTGCCCACCTGGCTGGGCTAGAAGCAATCCAGAATCAACAGGCAAGATAGCACAAATGAAAATTGTACCCCAAACCCTCTGGTGCAGGAGCCAAAGTCCAATAAAAGGTCAGAAAGCACGATCTCCCTTCTAGAAGGTGGGAAAGGAAGCTCCGAGAAACATCAGAGCTCCCCCTGCAGAGGCAGAGGAGCATTGTGCACAGATGCGCACGCACCAATGTTGTTGTTGTTTTCAGCTCATGACTTTTGACAACATCGCCATCAAGAGCATAGCAGCAAGGAGCCAGGAGGAAGGCTCAGGAAGGCAGGGAGCAGCCGTGTTTCGCCAGTGGGCATCTGGGCGGCAAGGCAGGTGCTCACGGAGAAGGTGTTCAGCCGTGGAATGAGAACCTGAAGGAAAGGACATGTTGTGAAATTAACCATTCTTCAGGCATGCACAACACACACACACATACCATTAAGCTGCTTTTCTTTATTATTACTGTTAAGTTGTGGGTGAACATATCAGACGACACAGCGATTCTTCAAACAGCTCTTGTTTATTCACAGGCCAGGACAGAACTGAACTGAAGGGTTCAGCCAGCCTGCTTATATAGAGCTCCAGTACAATGTAACTGTAACAATTTCCTAAAACTATCCAATCACTGAACGTCACTTTTGATCCCTTATTTGCATAACTATCTACAGTATCCCCCTGCTGGCCCAGGGTGAGAACTTCAGTACATAACAACTACTTCAAGGGCTGAGGCATGAGAAAGAGGTTATGGAGCTGACAGACCCTCCAAGTGTCCCTGTTTCCCTGGCACATCCTTGATTTAGAGAAGCCGTCCCAGTTTCTGATCTGATCCCAGAATGTCCCGATTTTCATTGGAGAAATGTATGATCTGCCCCCCACCCCCGAGTCATCTGAAGGCAATCCTGTATAGGGAAGTTTTTTTTAAAAAATATTGCTGTTTTATTATGTTTTTATATATGTCGGAAGCTGTCCAGAGTGCTGGAGCAACGCAGTAAGATGTGTGGGGTATAAATAGTAAAATTATCATTCTGGAACAGGACGTCCCTATTTTCACTAGAGAAATGTTGGAGGGTATGAGCTGACTGAGATCAAACTATGTTTGGCCCAGGTCTTTAAGACGTCACTTCAGAGCATCCAGCTTCTGTGGATGAGATCTGAATGATCTTCAGTTTGGAAAAGTACATTTCTGGCATTGGAGTACAAAGCGTTTCGCTTGCCACATTCCCCTTCTCTGCGCATCTCCTTCCTTCCTTAACAACTGGGACTCAGGTCTTTTCTTTCTTTTTGATCATTTATTTTAGCATACTTTAAAAAGAAGAAAAAAGACAAATACCAAATAACTGGACAATTATATACAATCCCAGGCTGTAAGGATAAAGGCATACCTCACAGATATTTTAAGGGGATTCTATATCCGATCTATCCTTCAAATGATATTTTATACTTTTAAATTATGCTTTTATACTTTTAAATAATGATTTCAAAGATATGAGGAACACTGCTACATTTTTAATACCACTAGCTGAGTCACGAACAGATTTGACTAAGAAGAACATAACTATTAATATTAAAGCCGCTCGCTTGTTTGATACTTAACATTTAATTTCCTTGGCGTTTCTTGTGGCTAATGGTGAACTGAACTAGATACAGTCGCTCAATTGCTAATAAGGCTTAATAAATAAATTAGTTTTAAGCATTTTAATAGCACCCTTCCATTGTATTCCCAGGATGGTTCATAAAAAGTAAAATATGACTAAAGATGATAAGCTAAAAGGCCACAAAATAATCATAAAACAGTAAGCAGGATTGAGGAAAACAATCTCAGGAAAATAAAAAATGTATGTCTGGGGCTGAAAGGACCAGGTGGGCCTCTGCAGGGAGTGTATTCCACAACTGGGGCACCACCACAAAGAAGCCCCTCACAGGAAGCCCTGTGTCGAATAGCTTAACGTCAAATTGGGCCTGGAAATAGACTAGGAGCAGTGTTGTGGGCATAACATTGTACTTAATATGAAAACAATGCCCAACAATGTAACATCTGCATTCTGCAACAAGCGTAGATTCTGAACAACTTTCAATGGCAGCCCAATCTACAGTAGTCTAGACTGGAGATTACCAGCACAGGGATAACATGGCCAGGCTATCTCTGTTTACATGCAGTTGCAGCTGTGGATCAATAAGAAGAACGCAGTGCAGGCTGGCCCATGGGGGCTGTTATGTACTGAGTTGAATAGGATCCAAAATGCAGCAGTTTGATTGGTCCTAGAACAATAGGATCCAAAATGCAGCAGTCTGATTGGTCCTAGAACAATAGGATTCAGAATGCAGCAGTCTGATTGGTCCACAGGAACCACCCAATCCAGCTCCAGGTGGAAGTGAATCCACAACCTGATTGGCCTACAGGAGAATCCCGGAATTAGCCAATCACGTGCGGCCCATTGTGTAAATAATGTATATAAAGCAGATATCTGGGGGGGAACTTTCATTCCTCCTCACCACTATGAGCTGAATAAAGAGCATGAAATCCACTCTTGACTCTGAGTATATTTCAGGGGCGGATGGGGCCCTGCTCCACCAAACTGCTCACAGCCAGCCCCCAAGCCCCGCCTGCCAGCTCCCTCTTCCTTAGTCTCAGTGTTGCACTCACTAGTAGGACTCAGCAGGGAAGAGAATGGGGCAGAACTACAACTCATTGGTTCTCTGGCGCCACCTACTGTTGGGCCTCCCACCCAACCAGTTCCATTGTGCACCAGCCCCCTGTGCCGTGAACACCACTCCCTTGGGAAGACCAATAGCGTACCCACACACTCCTCCTCTCTGCATCTGGGTTTAGCTTCCGTTTGTTGGCCCTCGTCCAACCCATTACTAGAGCCAAGGACTGATTTACAGTACCCACACACTGCGACCTAATGTATATGGATCACTCAAACATCAACAACATGGAAAATATTTGAGGGCACAGATTTTCATATAGATTGCTCTTATTCAATAAAGAGTAAATTGCTTTCCAATCAGCCAGGAAAGGGATCGTAGCTTGGTCATTACCTAGTCTTAATCATAGCAGTTGACAGGAGCTACATTCTGATATTTATACATTGGGTTGCCTTTATCATCACATGCAGCAGCACTCTCCCAAAAGGGGAACATTTTCAGGATTTCAAAATCACCGTAAACACTGGAGTTATTTAGACCTGATGTCAACAAAGGTGAGTCCCTTTGGATAGTTGCAGCAGGCAGGTGAACCCACCTTCCTAGTGAGCAAAATCAGTGCTGTTAATTATGAGCACAGTTAGCAGAGCTTCCATCTCAAGGTCACCCCAGTTCTGCAATAATTTTTTTTAAGCATATTAATTAGCATATATATCTCCTTACTTCGCATAGTTTATTCATCATCGGCTCAGCATGGGATCTAAACACAGCACATACAGTAGTTGTTGCTTTCTTGCCACTATTAAAATGTTCTGTTTGAAGAAGCACATTTCTGATATTCCCCCCAAATGTGGCACACTTAAGTGGACCAAATATTTCTGCTTGTCACAAGGAGCATGCACATCTCCTCTTGACCACAAGATATCGCAATCTTCCCCCACTGTACCAGCTTCCGATCTTTCACCAGAAACTGCTCAGTGTTTTCCAAGCTCTTCCACATACCGATAAGGACTAGTAACTTGCTTTGCGTGCAACTAACAGAGAGATACTACAAATCTACCTATAATGAAAAGAATGGGATCAGATAAAAGAGGAGATGATCGCGCTGGGAACACAGGTTGAAATAGAGGAGTGTTGGTGCTGCCAGGAAAGGGAGGGGTCATGATCCAGATTTGGGGGGTCTCACCCTGCGATCGGTTCCATACGAAGAGCCTGAGTTCACTTAGGGCTTCCGTGAGATTCTGGATCTTGCCCTGGAGCTGGGTGTTCTCGCTCTGCAGCTCCTCAATGGCTTCATGCAGTTCAAACGGGAGCCCCCCACCCCAGAGAAGGGGCAGCAGCAGCAGCCAGAGCATCAATGCCATCTGCACCCCCTCCAACAACCTCGCACTGTGCGGCCGGTGCTCAGCGCAACCTCGCTTCCTTCCCAATCGATCAGCCCGCCTGGGCAATCAATAGCTTGTTAATTACCCCGTCCTCCCTGAACCAAACTCTCTCCCTCTCTCTCTTAAAATAAAAATAAAAACGTGCGCAATCCCAGCCCTGAAGTCTCAAGAGGACCACAGATGAATTCAGATCCGATATCAAAGGGTGAAGCTGAGTGGTCCTGCCTGCTAGCCCACCAGATCCCCCAAAGTTTGATCAACTGCATTCATTTACTGGGGAAACTTCCTGTCCCCCAGTCAGGCCAATGCAACTGGGGCCACATTCACGCGACGGTAGAAGCAGCTGACAGCCACATTTTTTTAAATAGAACGACAAATTGGTAGGGATTGAGGGGGTCACAAAAAAACTATTGGGGAGCTAAATGCAGCCCATAGGCATGTTACCCCTTTTTTAAAGCTGTGTGCCTCTCCACCAGTCAGGATCAATCTGTCAGGTACGAGCCAGCAGTAAATCACACCAGGCCAGTTGGAGTTAACTTTTTATTAGCAAGAACACGATCTGCACAGACTTGGCTGAGTGACAAACCTAATGAGCACAGCAGCTCATCCCTGGTAGGTCTTGCCCCATGGACCAGTTGCTGAGCCTGAAAGTCCCTGCCTCCCGACATCCGTCTAAGTCCCCTCCTCTCCAGGGCTTTCCCCAAGCAATCAGAGACTGTGTCTGCATGCAGCCAACCTCTCCTCCGCTCTTTTCATGCCTCTCCTGGTTCTGGGAGATGGTGGGGGGGACTTGCTCCATGACTCTTCACCAGCCTGACTCATCTCTGCCTCTTGGCCTCCCTTCTCTCCTGCTTCAGCTTCTGTCTCTGATTCTGGACTTCTCTGCCACAGACTCTCCCAGCTCGCTAAGCCCTGGTACCTCTTCAGCTTCTGACACCTCTTCCCAGTCCTCCCTCTGACTACTCATGGTTGTCCCACCACCACTCCCTGGGCTCTGAACCTTCTTCCCTTGGTGGATCCCCAGATGGTTCACCCCAGCATCCCTCTGTGACCAACCAGTCCATGAAACCACCTATGCTCAACCGATACTTTTGTAAATAAACTCAAACATTACATAAGACCAGTCAGCCCCCAGTGGCTTCCTTCCAAAGGAAGCCAAACATAGGTAAGCCCTGATGCACCCCTAGAATGCCGCAAAACTCAGAGAACAGGGTGTGTATCACAGTGGGATAAATTGATTCAAAATGGTTCTGGTCGTGCTAATGCCTCACTTGCAGTTTTAATCTGTTCCCTGGTAGGGTGGATGGTCTGGCTAAACGGCCTCGGCCCAGTATACCTGAACGAGCGTCTCCACCCCCATCGTTCTGCCCAGATGCTGAGGTCCAGCTCCGAGGGCCTTCTGGCAGTTCCCTCACTGCCAGAAGTGAGGTTACAGGGAACCAGGCAGAGGGCCTTCTCGGTAGTGGCACCCGCCCTGTGGGATACCCTCTCATCAGATGTCAAGGAAATATCTGCCTTTTAGAAGACATCTAAAGGCAACCCTAGGGATGTGGGTGGCGCTGTGGGTTAAACCACAGAGCCTAGGGCTTGCCAATGAGAAGGTCGGTGGTTCGAATCCCTGCGATGGGGGGACCTCCCGTTGATCGGTCCCTGCTCCTGCCAACCTAGTCGAAAGCACATCCAAGTGTGATGTGCTTAGATAAATAGGTACCGCTCCAGCGGGAAGGTAAACGGCGTTTCCGTGTGCTGCTATGGTTCACCAGAAGCAGCTTAGTCATGCTGGCCACATGACCCGGAAGCTGTACAGCGGCTCCCTCGGCCAATAAAGCGAGATGAGTGCCGCAACCCCAGAGTCAGCCACGACTGGACCCAATGGTCAGGGGTCCCTTTACCTTTACCACAAAGGCAACCCTGTTTTGGGAAGTTTTTAATGTTTGATGTTTTATGATGTTTTTAATATTCTGTTGGGAGCCGCCCAGAGTGGCTGGGGAAACCCAGCCAGATGGGTAGGGTGTGAATAATAAAAATAACATTACAGCCACCACATCACCAGGCATACCCACATACCCCTGGAAGGGTCAAATGGTCCTGTGCCCCTGTGATGCTGCGGTGGCTTGCCAGCAAAAGGGCTGAATTGATTGATGGGGTAGCGGTTGGATATAGGGCTTTCAAGCATTTCAGCTGGGAGCTCTGCTGAGGTTAATTCCAAAATCATTTACTTATTGAATTATATCCCGCCTTTCCTCCGAGTTCAAGACATGGTTCTCTTCCTCCCCATTTTATCCACAGAACAATCCTGTTCTGGTTAGGCTGAGAGATTTTGGCTGGACCAAGGTCACCCTGTGAAATTCATGGCCGAGTGGGGATTTGAACTCTGGTCTCTTAGGTGCTAGTCTAAGCTCTCTAACTTCTACATCATGCTGGCTTAGTGCAAAGACTAGGGAATGTCTCTGCACCCTTGGATACCCTGGGCAGAGTCTTATACCTCCAGAGCCCACCACTCTGCCTGCTGCCAGTTTGGCCCATACACACACACAACCCTCTGCCATTCTCCTTCCCTCCAGGATCTGCTAAGCCACAGCTGGACTGGCAGGGCAGAAGGCAGAGAGAGCAGAAGTAGGTGGAGGCACTCTGGGAGGCACTGGGAATAAGGAGCAGGCGCAGGAAGCTGAGGAGATAAGGAGCAGGAAGCTGACAGATAGGACTATCACCTGGCATGGCTGCAAGTCAGAAGACAGGCAGGTGGGGCCCCATTGATGGCAAGCGAGGTTGGTAGGGCAGTGCCCCATTATCCCTAATGGGCAGCCGTCCACCATGAAGTCTCCTATCTGCTTGCCTATCCACCCAAGGGCCAGCTGCAGAGCTTCCCTTGCGGCAGAGGGCACAGAGCCAGCTTCTAGGTTCCCCTTGCCAGTCTTGGTCCCTGTCAGGACCTGTCCCAAAGGTGCAGCAAATAAGCAATTTGCACAGCAAGGATTGCAGAAGAAAGTGTGAAATTAGTTTCTAGGGAGCGAGGGGGATTTATTTTGTTTTAAAATAAAAATCGCAGCATGAAGTGGTTGCATGAGAGGAGAAAATAAATAGAAAACAGAGGAGGAGGACGTGAGACTGCAAGGAAGCACACACAGAGTCATTGGGAGGTGTGAAAGATTACACAGAAAGAGAGAGATAAAAGAAGTCACAAGGTGGCATAAAAGAAACAAGGGGAGAACATCTCCGTGGCAGAACAAAAGTCACAAGAGGCAGGAAAATAAATCACAGAGAGTTCTGGGAGGGAAACAAAGCGGGGGGGGGGAAACGTGTTGCAAAGTGAGCTGGGCGGGTAACCAGTCACTTCTAAGGTGTATGGAGGGATGGAAATATCCTATTATAGGCTGTTGTTGTTGCTGCTTCATTCTCAGAGAATAAGAGATACGGCAATGAGTTAACAGGTTGGAGCAGAACCTTAAGTCAACATATTGCTGTTTATTTGCTTGCGCTTCAAACATTTATTTACTGCATTTCTAATCCCACTTTTTTCTCCAAGGAGCTCAATTGCCCTCTGTGGGGCACGTGGTTTTCCTCCTCCTCATTTAATGCCCACCACAACCCTGTGGGGTAGGTTAGGCTGAGTGGCAGTGACCGGCCCAAAGTTGCCCAATGAGCTTCATGGCCAAGTAGGTATTTGAACCCTGGTCTCCCAGGTCCCAGTCCAACACTCTAACCCATAGCTGTCAACTTACAGATTTGAAAATAAGGGACCAGCAGCCAAAATAAGGGACCTGCATCCTCACCTGTTCCAGGCACTCCAGTCTTCCTGTCCTCCTGCAGTTTGGTCAAACTCATGCTGGTAGCTTCGAGAACACTGTCCAACCAACTTTGTAACCAGGGGTTCAACTGACTAGAATCTGAATCACATGCACCACAAGGCCTATGCAGCCTCAACTTAAGATGGCTCCCCGGCCTGGCTTTGCACTGCAAGGTCTGCAGCAGCACGTGCAACAAAATGGTGTCCAGCATTCAAAAAACCCCTCAGCTTGCATTAACTAGCCACACACAAGGCATGCAAGCTCCACCCCCCAGTCGTTCTTAGACTTCTTATTGGGTGAGCAACACAGCCAAGCAACGCAGTTGGAGCCTCCCTCCTCCCTGGCCGGCAGGGAGGGAGGGAGGGAGAGGAGCTGCTTCCTTTGAAATTTAAGGGACATCCTTTAAGGGACATCCATCAATAAGGGACAGCAGCAGGACATGGTGCTGGAATAAGGGACTGTCCCTTCAAATAAGGGACGCTTGACCGCTATGCTCTAACCACTACACCACATTGGCTCTCATTTCCTGTCCTGCCCCGCATCACAAACTGCCATAACTTGGATAGTGTGGAATTTGTTGGGCCCTGGGGATGAGCCTTTGCTAAAAACCTGGGTGGTCACACACACAAAAGTCATCAGACCGCTTGCAACTGGGGGCCATGGCAGAGAAGGCCCTCCCCTGGTTGCCATCAGATCAACCAAGAGGGCTTCATCCTAAGGTTTCAGAAGCCAGCACAGTGCAGGTGTTACCTCAGGTAACCAGGTCCCAAATTGTTCAGGGCTTTATAAGTCAGCAAACAGAACCTCCAAAGTAGTGTTTGGATTTATGCTGATTTTTTGTTTGTTTGTTCTATTGTCCCAGTTTTCAGTGGATTGGGGGTGTGTGTTATGCACAGCTGCTTAGAAATGTAACTATTTAAGTGGTATATAAATGTCTTAAATAAATAAATTGGCAGATCATGTTGCTACATTGACAGAAGTGTTTCGTGATTACAGGAGGCTGTTCCGTTAACAACCTAAATGGCGGAGTTTTGCACAAGTGGCTGTTACGCTTTCTTAATATTGATGTGGTCAATGGTATGTCTTTGTAATTATAACCTGCATGGCAGCACATTTGTGAGCTCTTAACAATTCAACACACCTGTAGTATCTTAACAATTTAACTAATTAGCAGGGGGTAGTTTATCTGCTACACCGAATGCAGCGATGTGACAGGGTAATTGATTCTTTTGAAATCTGTATTTAAATTGACCAAATGCTTTGTATGGTACTGGCTGGTGTAGAGTGGTGAGTTGTAGCTGTTTGATTATTATTTAAAATAAAATAAGCAAAGATATTGCAGGCAAGTTTTTATTACATCACCCCAGTCGCTGCGCAAACTCGGTTGGCAAAGGAAGTACAACAGCAGCAACTTCCGAGTCAACCTTAAGGCAGCCTTACACAGTGCACAACCCATGAGTCAAATCTTGAGATTCACCAACACATGGGTCACTGTCATCAAGCCATCCCAGTCCAGGTGATGGCTGTATCTCGCACACCAGCCTGAGCTGGAAAAGGAATGCAATGAGCCACTGCAGAAACTTATTGAACCATTCATTGACAACAATGCCTCAATAAGCACCCCCTCCGCCCAATACTACACATCTGTCCAGAATGAGTAAACTGCCCAATTCCCCAACCTGGGAACTGCCTACCCAAAGGGCTTTCCATCTTCTGGGATTCAGCGTCAACTCATGCATTCAGTTCAGTGTGTGCACTTTCTCTTGCTGAGATGGTGGGTGCCTCAGGCTCAAGAAATATGGTGCTTTTTATCAAAACACAACCTGTCTTCTTCATGCACGTTGCTTTTCAAAAGATAAAAGAGGAGAGGTCCTCCCAGCAAGGAGTCTGCAATACAAAATTCATCACAGGTAAGACAACAGAAGAAAAGGGGGCGAGCATAAGTAGGGAATAAAAGAGGGTCCTTTGTGTTATTTCAGGTACATGTAGTTAAGCTTAGTTACGGTTACTAGGGTATGTGCAAAAATATACACACCCCAACCCATTTTGTCACTTCACATCTGATCCACAGAAAGATGATGCCACAATACATTTGTTAATCTCCTGATGTGCCGCAAGTCTCTATTTTGTCCCAATTTGGGATTATTAAGCTATGGTGTGCTTGTGTTTTTAAAAAATCCCCTTCCCACTCACCCTTTTTACGTCACTTTGGAGTTTTGTATATCTAAAAAGTAGTATGTGAATGCTTAAAACAAATGGAGCGGCACAGGCGTCCCTCAAAACTCAATTCAGATTTTTTCCCCTCTCTCTCCCTCTTTCCCCCACCACGCTAGTGTAGAATGCGCAAAAGTGAGTCAGGCTCTCGCCACCCTCCGCCAGAGGCAGCAGCCGCTGAACTGAGCCGCCCGAGCAGAGCCCCCGAAAGGCACTCCCGGCGGTTTCCGATTGGCTCCGGCTTCTCGCTCGATCGTCCACTGCCGCCTTCTCGGAACGCTCCTGACGTCATGCAGAACCGCCCGAAGGAAAACCCGAACGGTTCCGAGCTGCCGCCGAGCTCTTCCGAAGCCCTCCTCATAGGAACGCCGCCATTTCCCGAAAGCTTCGCGAAAGGCCCCCGGAAGGCTGCCGTTCAAAGCTGAAAGGCAATGATGGTGCCGCTCTATCCCACGACATCTCTGTGGCGAAACCGCCCCTCCCCCCCGCCCCTCTATAGCTTTACAGTCGGGTTGGAAAAGCTGTTCGAACGTAGGCCGGAAGTGCCCGCGAGACTCCCTGCGCTGCAAAGCGGAAGAGGCGGGGCAGCACCGAGAGGTGGGAGGGAGCTGGTATAAAACCCCCTCGCGCCGGCTCCGAACCTCCTTTTCCGTTTCCGGCCGTCGTCGCGAGAAGAGGGTAAGGAGTGGGCCTCGTGTTTGTCCTGGACGGGGGAAGTGGGGTTATCCCGGTTGGAGGGGAGGGAAGAGAATTGGGGTAGTGAGGGCAGGTTCGGGGTCCTCTCCCGCAGAGTATGGGCCTGAGGCCTACCAGATAGTGCGGAAGGGAAGTTGGTTTGGAGGGGGCTGTCACGTGGCCAGTCCCTCCATTTCAGTCTTGTAGGTTGATTTCAGTTGTCTGGGCACAAAAAGGGGTTGTGGGTCGCCTAATTCCTACCCTTATTCCCGGAGGCAGCGCGCAGGTTCATTTTATTTTTGGTATGCGCTAAGATTGGGCTAAATTTTTAACAGTTAAGGGGCTCTCTCTCCCTTACTGTGTTGAGGATGCTTGTCAGCTCCCGAGACCGGTTTTTGTGTGTGTGAAATACAGTCTGTGCATTGGTGCCTCGCTAGCTTGAGGTTAGAATGAATCCGTGGCATGTAACAAAGTTTATGACTCCGTGTATGGTAAGGAGAATTAATGCAGGGTTCATTGACCCATTGATGAGCTTTGAAAGATGTCATTCACCCGAACCCAAATTCTTAGAAATGTAAATGAAATAAAATCAAGCATGAATGATACATAATCAACATTTAGTAACTATCAATACCATCTCTAGGATTCACAAAATGTAAAAAATAGATATTAAATACAGAGGCTTCTCAATGGTGAGGGAGGTGCACTCTATATTCCCACACCCTTTTTATCTGAGGCTCATAATTCCTAAGTAATTTGTTGTTCGTTCATTTGCACTATCCCTTGTAAACTTCATTTCAACCCCAAGGTCTTTATTTACCTTCAATATAGTCCCATTTTCCTCAGGGTGCTCAGTATCCACCACTTTGGGAAACCCTGGTTTAACGATGTTATAAGGGTAGATTATGTCTGATGGTAAACAGCAACTCATTTGCAGGCATCTTCCTAATCACATGATCTCTTCTCCGATAATACCATACCTGTGTTATTGTCCTTTTAAGTTTATATTTCCCTTTCCTTCATTGGCTGTGTCTCTACTTGCTGTGACATATCAGGGGGAAGAAGATACGACAGAATTCTACTACTATCACTCACTGATAGAAGATGTGGTATTTAAACAAATAGCCTATTCTTGAGGTTGATTCCTAATAATTCCCTTTTGTCTACTGTATTGTAGTGTATTAGGAATCTGATGACCATAGCCCCCCCCCCTTGTTACTACATTTATATCCCACTTTTCTCCAAGGAGATCAAGGTGGCATACACACTTCTCCCATCTCCATTTCATCTTTACAAGTGAGTGAGGTTAGCCTGAGACAGAGAGAGAATGACTGAGTGAAGGTGAGCCAGTGAGTTTCATTGCTTGAGTGGGGACTTGGGCCCTGATCTGCCAGGTCCTAGTCCAGCAGTCTAACCACAACCACAACAGCACATTGTCTCTTTCATTGTGTTGGGAGAGGAGTGTGACATTTAGAGGTACAAGGATGCCAAGACTGGAATAATGTGTAAAGGAGCATAAAATTAGAGGGGAAATACCTAAAGCAGGAGAGTGTGAGGACATAGACGGATATGCACTGGGCTTCTGACAATGGCATGTTTCTTTTTCTTATATTCTCATTGCTTGGTCTTCTCATCCCTAGGATTCTGCACGATGTCTGCCCATCTGCAATGGATGATAGTGCGCAACTGCTCGAGTTTCCTTATCAAAAGGAACAAGCAAATATATAGCACGGTGAGCTGCCCTCATTTAAAAAATAAAAACCTAGGTTTTATTTCCCAACAATTCCAATTCTCTTTTTGAAGCAAAAATACGGGGGGGGGGGGATCCCTCACTTTCAGACACATTGTTCCACACCTCTTAAGCTCTCCTCTTTTCCTCTTGGAACCCAGGAGTCCTAGTAACATGTTTTCTTGTTTCTTCCAAGGAACCAAACAACCTCAAAGCCCGCAACTCTTTCCGCTACAATGGACTGATTCATCGCAAGACTGTTGGGGTGGAACCTGCAGCTGATGGGAAGGGCATTGTTGTGGTCCTCAAGAAGCGTGCAGGTGGGTTAGCCTAGTTTAGAGCAAAATAATGCTGAATGGAGTGAGGGGGGGAGACGTGAGCAGGGTGTAAAAGATCTGTTTAGTTCTGGTTAGTGAATAAGCACTACAATAGAGTGGTGGAAGCAGTCCCACCAGACCATAGAAAATTTGTGTGTAGATAGTGCAGCATTTGGTAGAGTGCCAGAGGGATGCAGTTTTGTGGCTGGAGGGAGAGGGACTTCTAATAACCTTACCCCTTTTGACCACACTGCCTGGCTGTCCCAAATGCCCATATTCATTCCAGCCATTGTTTAAAAATGAAATTCTAAATGCTTGAAAATACAGATTTGGGGAACAGGAAATGTTATCAAAAATTTAGGTCTACATATTTCTCTGTGGGGTCATAAAATCACCAGTGCTCTTCAACATCTACATGATATCACTTGGAGATAGATCATCTGGGGCCAGGGAGTGGGTTTACTTCAGTAGGCTGATGAAACTCAGCTCTATAGTTCCTTGCCACCCTATTCTGGGGAGACCAGACAGTTCTGAATCTGTGTCTGGAGCCAGTGGCAGACTGGATGAAGGTAAACAAACTGAAATTTAAATTGGGACAAGACAGTAGTGCTGTTGGGTAGGAGTTCTACTGGTTCAGGAACAGGAGGTTGTCCTGTTTTGGATGATGTTGCGCTTCCCAAGATCTCCTGGATCCGGCTTGTTGGGTGTTCACAAATCTGCTGTGGCTAGGAGTACTTTTGCCAAAGTTCACCTGCTTTGCCAGATGTGCCTTACCTGATAGTCAGTTCTGGCTATGGTCCTACGTGCATATCTCAGTTTTGCTACTGGTATGTGATTTGTGTGGAGCTGCCTTTGAAAACCACAGAGAAACCAATAGGTGCAGAAGGCTGTTGCAGAAATCTTGACTGGGGCAAGCTGTTGGGATCATTTGGCCACTCCCCCCCCTTTATGATGTATATAGGATTAATTCTGTCAATGTTTACTTGTATTTTAATGATCAATATTTCTGTGTTTTTAGCGCTTCTTGTTTTTATCTGTAAGCCACCTTGAGTCCTGTCAAAGGAAAAGGCGGAAAATAAATAACACCGGCTATACTGGCTGTCAGTCTGTTTCCCCATGCATTTCAAGGTGCTGATTATTACATATAAAACCCTATTCTGCCTGGGACCAAGCTCTTTGAAGGGCAATCTCCTCTTTTGTGAATCTTTCCATCCTCTGAGATCAGCCATTGTGCCCCCTTTGTGTATGCTGCCATCTAGAATGTGAGTTTGGACTGACAGTCTCGAGCTGAAAAATTCAGCTGAGCTTACTGACTAGGTCTTAGGCAGGCCACTGTGTCTCTCAACTTCAGCTGCAGTATGGGATGAAAACACTGGCCTACATCACGTGGTGACTAATGTGGGAACCTGAGAATCTCCAGGTGTTGCTGGACTATATCTCCTTATTTTGAAGGGACGCAGGTGGCGCTGTGGTCTAAACCACTGTGCCTCTTGGGTTTGCTGATAGGAAAGTCGGCAGTTCTAATCTGTGCAACTTGGTGAGTTCCCGTTGCTCTGTCCCAGCTCCTGCCAACCTAGCAGTTCGAAAACACATCAGTACAAGTAGATAAATAGGTACTGCTGCGGCAGGAAGGTAAATGTTGTTTCTGTGCATTCTGGTTTCCATCATGGTGTTCTATTGCGCCAGAAGCGGTTTAGTCATGCTGGCCACATGACCTGGAAAGCTGTCTGGACAAACGCTGGCTCCCTGGGCCTGAAAAGTGAACTAAGTGCCACACCCCATAGTTGCCTTTGTCTGGACTTGACTGTCCAGGGGACATTTACCGTTTTACCTTTATTCTAATTATTGACCATGCTGGCGGGGCTGATGGTAAGGACTTCCAAACTATTATATTTTTCTCCTAAATGCACTGGTGTGTCATTTGCTATTGCTGCTTCCATCTTAGAGATTCTAGGTTCTTTTTCCATCCATGCGACCTAACCTTTCACTCTTGCAGGCCAGCGGAAGCCAGCCACCTCTTACGAGAAGATCACCATCAACAAAAATGCCCGTGCCACTCTTAGCAGCCTCCGCCACATCATCCGCAAGAACAACTACCGCAAAGACCTGCGCATGGTAAGATGAGGCCCTTTGGTTTCTCCCTCTGTAGATTTGCACTGGGATATATTTAGTCTCCACTACTCCAATGAGCATATGGTGGCAATTCATCAGAAACAAAATGGCATGGTGAGCTGGCATTTTAGAGTGAAAATTGAGATGTTTACAAAATCTATCTAACACTATGAATGTTCAAAGTGTGGTGCAGTCAATGAAAAGCGCCCTTCTGTGTAATACCTGGGTTATGATAACGTGTTTTGAATTGCAAAAGACATTGAGAAATTGCCAAAAGGCTTCTGTTTCACTCCTGTTTTAGGAGTGAAGATGGTTCTGCTCATTTAAGTTGGTAGATCTGAAAAGAGGAGGGTATTACAAATTTGAGGAACAGTATAGAAACGAGTTATTTCAGGATCTGGGTTTTGCAAGAAACCGCTGGAGGTGCTTGACCTGAAAATAACTGCTGTGCTTTGCAGCCTCAGTTTTCCTTCGGAGGCTCTTGTTAGCTCACTTTTCCTCTTAACTCTCTCTCAGGCTGCTCTGCGTCGTGCCAGTGCAATTCTACGCAGCCAGAAGCCGGTGGTGGTGAAGAAGAAGCGAACTCGGGCTACAAAGGCTACATAAAACAGTTGTCAGATTATCCAATAAAGGATTAGAACCAGAACATGGCGTTGCTGATTGGTGTTAATAGATTGAAACCTGGGTTGTTTCTTCCCCAGTGAATACAAGCCCTGGTCTGCAGTTGTCATTTTGCTGAATTGCCTCCCAAAAGGCAAAAGAGGCTGTGTTGCTCCCTGTCCTGCAGAGATTCGTTTGCACCAAGAGAACAACTCAAAAAATTAGTGGCCAAATACTCTCCTACCTTGCTGATAACTGGGTTTCTCATATACATACAACTACTTTGCATTGTGGAGTCTCTTGTCCCAATTGTTGGGAAGCTTACTCTTTTATAACTCCTGCTGAGAATAGCACTCTGAGAATATAATGGAAGTGGCCTCTGTAAAAGCATATAGCACTATACATGTAGTAGGTTTTAAGGTGCTACAAGACAAATTCAGTAGTGGGGAAAAAATGGAATAGAAGAAAAGCATAGGAGGAAATGGGGTGGGGTGGGGAGAGAAAATAAAAGGAGCTGGTCTTTTAAGTCTCCATGTCTACTATTGGGGGTCATGGAGGTGATTTACAGATGCTTGTTTAATTGCCTTGACAATGACCAACAGGTGGCAGTTTAGAGCTAAGAAAACTCCTTGTTCCCACCCAGTATACATCCATTTTTTCTTGTCCCAAGGGATAGATGAATACCAATGAATTTTATTCTAAGGTGAGGCTTAGAAGCACTTGAAAACCAACTCTTGCGTTAATATCTCTGCCTCAGATATAAGAGCTGGCTGCAGTTGCTGAATGATAATTGCACTTTGTGCTTGTTCAGATGGGCTGCTGCCTGCAGAATCTGGTAGTTAAGATAGGAAAGTCACTGGTGAGAGAAGGCATAAGCTGTAATTCTAGCTCCACTTACCTGAGAGTAACTGAATTCACTAGGACCTACATCTAAGTAGACACAGGGTTGCATCAAATATTTTCACAAACTTCTGTTCCCTTTCCCCTTGCATTTAGTGGTTGGAGAAGCCACAGGAAGACTTGATAAGAGGCTAGACTAGCCATATATATATATATATATATATACACACACACACAAAATTCTACTGCATTTCTTTTCTCCCAAGAAGTGCTGGTGGTCCAGGGCTTCCTTTCCTTGCCATGCTTTTATCTCCCCAACAATCCTGAGAGAGGAAACTAGGCTGACAGGTTTCATTGCTGGGATTTGAACCTGGGATTCTGGAGTCCAAGCACTGCTACTATGGGTAGGGAGTGGGGCAATCAGAAAGGAACATCCCAAAGTGCTCTTTTGAGATTGATGGAAGGCTTGCTTGGGGGAAACAAGCTGCAGAAGGGAGGGACCGAACAGGAAATAGGACCTGGTGTGAAATGGATGTGCATTCTCATGCATGCTTCATGAACCTCACCTGTCTGTGCAACGTTGATTCCCTGGTGAGAAATGCGGCGAAGCTTCCAGATTTAAAACACCTCACTGTCCTGTATAGCATGTGCCTTCCGCATGAAAGCTGTGAGGTTCTGGCAGGTCCACAACTGAGGTGATTGGATCTCAGGAGATGGCTGTGGCCATAGGGCCAGGTGTGAGTGCATTTCCCTAAATCCACCTATCCTTACAGGTGGCTCTGATCTCTGTCCCCCGCCCCAAGCTATCTTTGTTAGAGCTCTGTGGTGCTTGCTGAGCCAAAGCAAGGTGATCTAATAGGCCCAGCAGGCAATTGGCAGGCCTCCCAATGACCCCAGCTAGCTATTTGAAGCCCTGGGCTGACGTATGTCCTGACCTCTTTCCTGCCCTGCCATCTCCCTTCCTGGGCACCACAATTGAGCGGGCAGCCAGAGTTGGGGAAGGGTGGGTGAAGGGTTCCCCCTTCTCTCCAGAAGTCCTAATTCTGGCACAGAGTCCCCTGGGAGGGAAAAAAGACCTTTCCCCAGCAGCACTGTATTAGGAATTCATTCATATATTTTATTTCATTCAATATCCCACCGTTACATCACTAAACTCATATATAGGTACTCTTTTCCCCCAGCTTAACCATGCAACAGCCTTGCAGCTTTACCTTTACAACCCAAAGTAAATATCTTCAGAGGGTATAAATGTTAGATGCACCTTCATACACAATATTCATTGGCATGACAATGGACATGGCATGTTTCTGACAGACAAAAACAAACAAACCGAAGTTATTGCATGACCACCGCCCTGTGGGCTGTTTTGCACTGCATGGCCGGTTGTGAAGCAGTGAAGGGCCAAAGGCCGCAGCTATGTCCTGTAGGTCAGGGCTTCTTAAACTTTCTACCCCCAGGGCCCACTTGAGAAGGCTGAAAATTACTGAGGCCCATCAGCCACTAAATGGTGCTGCAGGGACAGAGCCAATCACAACATGGCAGCAGGTGAAAGCAGAGTTTGGTCTTGTATCAGTCAACTAGCAGGAACTGACTTTGCTTTCTGCTTGATACCTAATCCATCTCTGGAAATGGCTGCGTTATTTGCCACAGCCTTTTCCCTCAACCCCTCCTCTGGCCCTTTTCCCTCAGAGAAGAAAAAACCTCTTCCCCACATGAATGTCTCTGTCTCCCAGCCCCCTATATTTAGCTTCTGTATATGTCATGTGGGGATGCAGTTGTGACAGAAATCTTGTCCTTTGCTTTCGGCTGCAAAATGTATTTGAACTGTTTCTTTCCAAGGATAATACATAAAGCTGATTGAAAATAAATGAATCACTAGATTATGGAAAAGCAATAAGGCGCATAGCTAAATATAATATAGAAGGGCATGTGGCAGGATGCATAAAATGAATGACATGTTGTAGTAAAGCCACTTAATCTCTGGAAAGTTAGCATCTGCACATGGGCAAAGGCCAAAGGGCATCTCTTTAGGACCATCTTGTAAGTCTAGGCAAAACTCCAATGAGACTGGCCATATCTTCTTGGCTAGGTAATGCAGATGTTCACCTGCACATGGACTTTGGTTGAGACTGAGTGCATAATGTGGGGGTGAAAATGTACTATGCTATGTTATGACTTGGTGAACTCTAGGATGTGTGTGTGAGACTTTCCTAACGCAATTTGAAAGCGGACAGCTCCTAGACCAAACTCCCAACTATGCCTGGGGTGTGTCATTAGCAGGAAACCAGGGCTTGCTCTCAGAACAATGTCCTGACCTAGGAGTGGCACTGTGGGCCGGAGTGATAAGCTTGGTCTGTTTATACACGGGCACCGAGATGGCCGAGATCAAGCCAGCCACCAAGAGTATATTGTCTGCAGTTACACTCGTAGTCAGTCCAGGGTTTGGGAACGGGGGCCTTCCTTTCCTCTTTGAGGACTTGCCTTTGCTGGATGGGTCTGGGCCAACTTGATTGTGCGAGGTCTAAAGACGCAGTTTTCAGTAATTTGTATGCTAAACTGGACAGTAGCACTTCAGACTGGGAATTAGGACTCCCGTGACTGAATGCCCTGCACATAGAAATCTATAGCGAAAGGAAAGGATCTAACCTACTTTTCTTCTTGATATGCTAATTTTCTATGTGCAGGAATTCCTTTGCTCCCTCCACTTCTAGAAGAGCATGTGAGTCGCCCCTTGCAGTCTGAAGTAGTCCAGAAACACATTTACCATCTCACCTGGTCTTCCTTGGAACCTTGACCAGCTCCCCAGATTTGCAGTGTGGAAAATATAATGCCAGGAGGAGCAGATGGCTCAGAAGTGGAAGCACCATTGCAGGGAATCGGTTGCTTACAGTTGTGTGCTTTGCCCTGAGAAGATGGAAACTTGGAGGGAGTCTATCCCTTCTTTATCAGACAGCACCCAACAGGGTTCAATGAAAAGAGAGAGGCATATATATTTTCTGTCTTTGTCTTGAATGGCACAAGTAGGGCTGGATAAGCTTTCTACCAACTCGTTCTGCACCAGAAATAATTCTAAAATACAATATTCCGCTTCCAATAAGTAAGAGAAGTGCAAAGAGCTACACAAGATGCTAATACACCACCCTCTCTTACCCATGGAAATCCACCTCAGCCAATATTTGCAAACTTGGGAACTAGAAATGTGCTTTAAAAAGAAAGAAAAGAAAGCAGAGAGGTCCAATTTTGGGGTAGGCGTGTGGTTTCTAGGAACAAGTCATCTTACCGATGTGAACAAATGTGAACAAATTATTGGCCCTTATAGTGGTGAGGAATGAGGTTTTAGTGGAGGGCAATGGATTTTCTTCATGCCTCATAAGGACTAGGAACTTCTAGAGATGTAAACTTTTGTAGACTGCATTCCACTTCGTCAGTTGCAAGGAATTGGGATTGGGAAAGGGATCATTCTCTTCACCAAGGCCTAGGACTTTGTTGCCAAGTGCTGGCACAGCGTAAAAGGTAAGACATTATTCCAAAGTGTTTCCAAAGCATTGTCACTTCTTGCAGTCTTACCATGTCAGAATCAGGTAAGGATGGTTGGAGTAGCCCCAACTGTGTCCAGACGAAGGGAAACATGGGTAAGAAATGGCCCAGCATGGATTTTCAATTTATATAGGTTGACAACCCCAGAATGCAGTTGCCGTTTGTTCAAAGTGGAAAGTGGCTGATTATAAAACCTGGACTGGTTTGTATTAAGATTTTCCAATGGATTTCAGAACCTGCCACCAGTTCAAAATTGGGCTTTCCTTGGGAAACAGCCTTTTGGGCTGGATTCTCACTCCATGCTGAAGTGTTCTTCCGGCTGACAGGAAAAATCTGGTCTCGGGTCTTCATATGACCGCTTTCTTTGCTTCTGGCTCCATCAGTAGAGTCCAGCTGCCACACCTCTTCCGGCTCCTGTACTGCTGCCACAAGCAGCTGACGGCCACCCCCAAGACCCCGGACCCTAGCAAGACCCACCCCAGGACAGACAACACAGAGCCAGGAGGGTCACGGGCACCAGCCACACCAGTGGCTGCCAGGCCGATGATGCTCATCAGCAGCCCAAAGGGAAGCAGGCAGTCTCGGCAGGAGGCCTCCACACCTCCCGTGATGGTACTTATGAGGCGGGGGTCCAGGGGCAAGGCCGAGCGCTCCAGGAAAACCTCTTCCCTCTCCATGTTGACCCTCACACGGTCATAAGGCGCGGTTGCGGGGGTGGCAGCAGTATCCATCCTAGGGAGGAAAACCAGGGAAATAAGAGCATAATAAGAGTCCTGGTGGATTAGATTTGGATTTTACTTTTTAACTATTTTATTCTCAGTTTATATGCTTTGCCTTGTTGGCCACTTTGAGCACCCCGTCTTGAAGGTGAAAAGCAGACAGAAAATCCCCATACAAACACATAGGGGGGGGGAGAGGGGGGAGGGGGAGAGAGGGGGCAAAGAGAGGCTGGTGACCATTTAGGAGACAGAATGCTGGACTGAATGGATCCTGCTATAATCCAGCAATGTGCTGATATAGCTGTGAAAAACACATAGCCTGTAGAGAAGCAAGTCTGAAAACTATTGCAAGTACAGTGGTACCTCTGGATGCGAAAGGGATCTGTTCCAGAGCGCCATTCGCATCCTGAGTGGAACGTAACGCGCATCTGCGCAGGTTGTGTTTCGCCGCTTCCACGCATGCACGTGACGTCATTTTGAGTGTCTGCGCATGCATGAGTGGCGAAACCCGGAAGTAACGCATTCTGTTACTTCCGGGTCGCCATGGAGCATAACCTGAAAACGCTCAACCTGAAGCATATTTAACCCGAGGTATGACTGTACAGAAAGATTAGGGGTTGTATCTAACCAAGTTATACTCAGTCACTGAAATTAATAGACCTTCGCCATCATGTCCATTAACTTCAAGGTGTCAGCTCTCCATTTGACTAACACAGTACAGTGGTACCTCAGGTTACAGGTGCTTCAGGTTACAAACTCCGCTAACCCAGAAATAGTATCTCAGGTTAAGAACTTTGCTTCAGGATGAGAACAGAAATTGTGCTGCGGCAGCAGGAGGCCCCATTAGCTAAAGTGGTACCTCAGGTTAAGAACAGTTTCAGGTTAAGAACTGACCTCCAGAGCGAATTAAATTCTTAACCCGAGGTACCACTGTACCTGTATACAACACTAGGTAGGAATGAAGAGAGAGGTAACAGTCTGAAGCCTAAATATATTTGGTAAGGGTGAAGACAGATGTTACATCGCAAGGATGAAAACAAATGTAACATTCTAAGGTGGGTTGGGTTTCCATACACATTTGCTGTAAGTGTGTTTTCCAGACCATCAAAACCATTTCTACCACATTTAGGACACGTATGCCCATCTTCTTGTTTAGCTGACCATTGAAATGTTTTATTCCCCAAGCCATGTGGAAAAAGATGTCCTGTATGTCGGCAGTTGGTTTGGAAAAGAAGAGAGGAATTCTTATCAGGCTCTATCTGGGAGGTTGTATGTGTGGAGAGAGAGAATGAGAGGAGACAGAATTGCTTTGCACTGCCCAGAAAGGAGCTTTAGATAACATATGAAGATAATCTTTTGAGCTGACAGAAAGAGCCCAGGACACGTTCTCAAGGGAAAGTGTCGAGGCACCCATATCTTGGGTGCTTTTTAAAAAAAAGAGATATAAAGAAGGTGGACTTCAGGAGTAGCTAGGAAAGGAATAGGGCAGGGGTAGGCAAACTAAGGCCCAGGGGCTGGATGCGGCCCAATCACCTTCTCAATCCGGCCCATGGATGGTCCAGGAATCAGCGTGTTTTTACATGAGTGGAATGTGTGCTTTTATTTAAAATTCATCTCTGGGTTATTTGTGGGGCATAGGAATTCCTTCATATATATATTTTCAAAATATAGTCCGGCCCCCCACAAGGTCTGAGGGACAGTGGACTGGCCCCCTGCTGAAAAAGTTTGCTGACCCCTGGAACAGGGGTTGCCATAGTGATCAGAAAAACAACAGCCTAGCCCATGCTCCTCTCCCTTTAACATAAGTTTGAGCTATAGAAGACAAAGCTTTTTAAAATCTAAACTCTCAACAACTGCTTCAAGTCAAACTGCTGATGTAAAGCCAGCAGCTCTGGGGGTCAGCTGAAGAGTTTGCATCCCGGGAAAGTAAAATTCTTGGGGATTTCTAACAATGGTCAAGTGCTGAGTTGGTAGTTGCCAGCTTTTGAAGCTGCTGCTGTAACAGACTATATATATTTATTTCCATGCATCACAAAACCTCCTCTGCTAAGTTATACACATCCCACAGCCGCTAAAAACACAAAGTAAAAGGACAGTCCCTCATTGGTCAATTGGCATCCTTAATTGTGTAAAGTGGCCAGCTTTTTAAAGCTGCCTTTAACAGCTGTCCAGCAGACTGAACCAATAGGTGGAACGTCTTTGTGTCAATGAGATGCAGAGATGGGGAATTGTGGCACCTGGGGAATGCCTGCCTTCTGGCTGAAAGAGTTCCTAGGTGGTTTTTTGTTTTTTTTTTAATGAACCAGGCAGTAGAACCACAATAAAAACACAAATTTTAATTCAATCAAATGGCAGAAGTACAAAGCACAGCTACATTATAAGTTTAAAGCCCAGGAGACAGCATAAAAGCAATAAATGCCTGATGGATTATTTTTTTTAAGTGTTTTAGCAGAGATGGAATTTGGTGGATTTCCCTGGGGGTAGAATCCATAAGTGCCACAATGAACTAAGCCCAGCCCCCGAGTACTGCTAATCAGATATTTACAAATATCTGAAACCGGAGTCCCCTGAAAAGCTGCAAATAAAGTTTAATTGAAGCATTTATAAATTTGCCAAACCTGAATATAGAATGTAATACACTTCTATATATTATCTATTTGTGCCATGAACAAAAATGATACATCAGTTCTTTTATCTCTGTGTCTCCCCACCCATCCTACATCCCTCTGCCTCACTCCTGTCTGTAGAGATTTGTTTCCTTATACAGTGGTACCTCGGGTTAAGAACTTAATTCGTTCCGGAGGTCCGTTGTTAACCTGAAACTGTTCTTAACCTGAAGCACCACTTTAGCTAATGGGGCCTCCTGCTGCTGCTACGCTGCCGGAGCATGATTTCTGTTCTCATCCTGAAGCAAAGTTCTTAACCTGAGGTACTATTTCTGGGTTAGCGGAGTCTGTCACCTGAAGCGTATGTAACCTGAAGCGTATGTAACCCGACGTACCACTGTAGTTATGACCTTACCTATTGCCAAAGAATTCAACACAGCTTTCATTTGAGGGAAACCGCCTTGAGGTCTTTGGCAAAAGGCGGAGTTACCATTATTACACCATAAAATCCAGCCCAACAACCTGCCCTGTTCCTCTACAAATAGTATTAAACTTCGTATCAAATCACTAAATACAAAGTGACAATGTAAGGAATTAAAACACAGTCAGGGTAGCAGAAATCATAAAAGATCACTGAGGCACCTTGCATAGATTAAAGCACCTTGCATATATTTCTAAAAACTCTCCGGTTTGATTACAGGTTTTCTTTGTGTTGCCCAGTTGACTAAAAGAATTGCACATTTAAATGATCCCCTTCGCTCGGCCTGCTCTTGAGCCTTTTCTGATCTGCTGAAATTGGCAGGCAACCCCTGCTCAGAATGGTCAACTGATGCAGACTGAGCTGCCGTGTGATACTGGTGGTAAGTTGGCAACCCAAGATGAACAAGCATGTTAAGAACTTGTGAAGTTTCACAGCATGGAGGTGATACAGCATCAGCGTTCTATGTTTTGCCCTCACACCAATTGACTGTTACAGAGGTACAGAGGTACAGTTCCCGGCTGAAAAGTTGGCAACCCTCCCTAGGCAGAATGGCACACACAAATGGAGCTCCAAATAAATGGATGTAGATCTCTGTCCCCACGCCCCACACAACCACACACACACCTCCCACCCCACAGCACCCCAACGCACAAGTCTGGCAAACAGCAACTCATTTCCAAATGTATACTCTGTAGGGTTGCCAATGAACCTGGGGAAAAACTGCTCCCATTTCTGCAGAAATGAGATGGAGGGTTTTTCCATAACGAGGAATAAACCTGATCACCTCAATGCACATCAGTAGCTGCTGAGGGAGGTTCAAAGGTTGGCAACCCTTAAAACTATTGAGGTTCTCCAAAGTAGCATCCCTTAAAAACATCCTTCCTTCCAGGGCGATCTGATCATAGCTGTCAACGTTCCCCTTTTTTAAAGGGAAATTCCCTTATTCCGAATAGGATTCCTCGCAAGAAAAGGGAAAAGTTGACAGCTATGGATCTGACTGAGCCATGCACTCTGCTCCCCTCGAGATAATTCAACCGTTACCCCTTTCTTACCTCAAAAAAGAGTTTTGGTGGTGGTGTTCTTTTTTAGTATTACTTCCCCATTCCTTCAGTGTGCCTGGCCTGCTCACGACCAATCCTTTGTTTCTGTCCTCCTTCCACTGCAAAATCCCCACCCCAAGTCTGTGTTCTTGGGGTCAGTTTGTCTCCTCTGTTGCCAGCCTGGCTGCTCAGGACCTCAAATTTGGTTCCCGCCCCCACCCTCATTTATTTTAATGTCTATCAATGCAGGGACACGGATGATGGAATGATAAGGAGGCAATTAGAGAGTTCCTGTAACTTAGTAGGCACTGGAGAAACTTGGAGGCAGGACACGGCACATGCACACAGCACATTGTACGCCTCAGGTACACACCCAGCCATTCAGAATGTGCTGTAAATAAATAAATGAACAGAACCCATTCAGTCACCTGTCATTTATATATGTGTGCGTGTGCGCAGGCACACATTATTAGGAAGGAACTCCTGATAAGCTTCCATGAATTCTCCAGGGGGGAAACAGTTTGAAAACCACAGCTTTAGAAGACAGCCACATCCTCACAATACATTCAAAACACAGGGCTTCACTCCCCTCTCCCAAATTCCTGGGAACTGTAGTTTACCCTTCGCAGAGAGACAGCTCCTGGCATCCTTACAAAACTACAGTTAAAAGGGTTCTGTGTACATGTGTGCGCGCGAAGCTATGTGCTTTCAGTGTGGTTTAAATGTATGAAGGAGATGTGACCTATATTCCTCGTTCCATGGAGCTCTGATGTTGCAAGCCAGGCTTAATCTGAGCTGGATGGGAGAGAAATTTTAATTCAGTTCATATTTAAAGCCGAATTCATCCAATTTGCACTTTCTGAAACGAGAGGAGAACCAAAACAC